TCTCCAGGCAGCACTTCTGCTCCTGTACTTCGGGCATAGTCTCCGGTCGCATATGAAGGTGGGTAGTCACTTCCAGGTCCAACAGGAGGCGGGTAAGGGCGCCCATCTCCGGAGGGGCGGTTGTCTTCGTCTTCATCGTCATTTCGTTCACTCCAGATCCAGGCTGCAATACTGATAGTTGCAATTCCAGCAGTCAATGCCAAAGGAAGCCAGTATCCAATGGCGGTTCGTCCGCCGGTTGAGCTGAAACCAGTACCGGCTCCGCCGCGACGGCGCCGAGGGTCTTGAGGGAAGGACATTGCGATCGCGGGTATTCAATTAGAGGCACATTTAACGGCTAATAATCGCGGTCGCAATGACTCGCAGGTCGCATTTCACACGCCGGTTTGCAAAATAAGAGGTTGGGAAAAGGGGAACAAGGGAAAGGAGGCAGGCGTCTCTCCTCGGATACTAGAAACATGTGGCTGGTGATTACCGCGGGTGTTTACTTCTGTTTGTCCTGTTTGCGTCTTGCTAAATCTGGAGGCGGGTCGGCATCACGTGTCATCTCCTGTCGAGATTATGTAAGTGGATTTTCTGACTCCTCCGAAGCAGGGCTTATCGGTTGGAAAGAAATATATGACTAGGTGTGAGAACTCGCAAGCGCATTGTTAGTTCAGAACATGCCTCACTCAATCCCCGTGCCTCCGACGGGCCTGCAAGCCTTAATTCTTGTGAGCAATGAACCTTCATATATATGTCTCGAAACAAAAGCTAACAAGCAAATAAGTGTGGCCCTGGTGTATCGCTCAACACATTCACTTCGAACCCCGAGGAATACCCAAAATGCCTCATTCCTGTGGCCAATCGTCCAATGCTCTGGTACGCCCTAGACTGGTCAAAAAGGATGGGCATCACTGGTAAGCGCATTTTCCCACCGTCGAAACACCATGCGGGGCATCTCATGACGCCATGCGCTCTATCGCAAAACATCGGATGGAAGACTGACCATGCTAGATGTCACTTTGGTCACTCCTCCTTCTTCACTCGCTCCCCTTCAGGCCGCTTTACGACAGAACCCACATCTTACCTCACTTCCTTCGCCCTCGGTCATCGCACCGGCAGACCTCGAGATGACGACTGGCACCGCAGAGCTCCTCCGTCTTCCCGAGGTGCAGACGTGTATCAAATCCGACTTCCTTCTCTTGCCTTGTGATCTAGTTTGTGAAATACCCGGCGAATCTCTGCTTGAAGCATGGATGGTGTCTGGCGGCGAGAAAAATCGCCGGAACGGACTTAGCATGTATTATCAGACACAGGGTCGGGAGGAGAGTGTCAAGGGCGAAGCTACAGACTTTTTAGCAGTGGCACCGCTTGAGGAGAGTGAGGCTCCTACCGTGTCTCATGCTGCGCTTCGTTCCTCGCTTTCAAAGCTTGTCCTCTCTATGCCCATGGCCACATTGAAAGAGAAATTGGAGAATGACAAGGGCTTCCTTGTGCGCCACTCCCTGGTGGATGCGCATGCGCAGGTGAAGTTGCTGACAACATACCGTGATGCCCATATCTACGTCCTTCCTTACTGGGTTAAGGACATGGCTCGTCTGAACGAGCAATTCCAATCTGTCGGCGAAGACTTGGTTGGATGGTGGGCCAAATCGGAATGGCAGCAAGGCCTCAGCGACAAGCTGAAGATCAACGAAATCTTCCAGCAAAAAAGCCGTCGTCAGAGCCACGGCCTCACTCTAGGTGAGAGTGAAAGCCACGACGGTGAATCCATCGATGGCGAATCACTGGAGGAAGAGATTGATTTACAAAGCATGAGCACTACCAAATCCACCCCAGCCAAGTTCAGCACAGCGACATCAGACCCTCAATTTGCGTCTCGGGTCAAGGCTCCCTCGCAAAATGCCAAGAGTCCCAAGTCAAATCTCCCACCAATGCTCGCTTACGTCCAAAAGGGCACAACTCCATTTGTTCGACGAGTTGATTCATCAGCCGTTCTTCTCTCTACGTCTCTCCGTCTTGCTAAGCTAGAGTCCATCGAAGAGGTTGGCCGAGTTGCTTCGTCGGCATTCGCGCATGCCTCCAAAGTGGCAAATACAGCTAGCATCGCGCAGCGGTGTACCGTCACGAGAAATGACTGTCTCGTAGATAACAACTCGACGGTTGAGGAGAAGTGTGTGATCAAGGAGACCATCATCGGTGCTAATTGCCATATCGCCAGCGGTGCTCGGTTGACTCGTTGTTTGATCATGGATGGTGCTGTTGTTGGCGAACGCTGTCAATTGACAGGTACTATTGTTGGACGCCGCAGTAAGATCGGCCGGGAAACCGTGCTGAAGGATTGCGAGGTTCAAGATGGAAACGTTGTTCCCGATGAAACTGATGCCAAAAACGAGAAGTTTATGATCTTTGAGGGTATTGACGATGAAGATGATATGGATGCTTCGGGGGATGACGCAGATTATTGATTTGAAGTATATTTATCCTGGCTCAACGTTCCTGAGATAAGATCCCTGAGATCAAGATCAAGATCCACAAATAAAAAAATAGAATTTTATACCCCTTCAACACGTGAAAGTTTGCAAGCCTGACATCTCCGAAATGCATTTCCAACAGGGGTGAACCGAACCAGATGGGCTCACACGCTCAAAAATACCACCGTACATATGTCCTGGCCAAGGCCAATGCGTTGCGCCTGCTTCCCCGGATGCATACTAAAACTTAGCAATTGCACGAAATGTAAGTGCACGGGACCCGTTGGGACGTTATCTTGGCAATGGAGATATTCGTAACTGGCATATTGCATGAACTATACTCCGCACGAATGAGAAGCTTTGAATGTCTCTGGGCCTTGCATCCACTCACGCATCAGACCATCGCGTGGATGCTCGGGATTTGGCCGTGATACCATCAAGTCAGCGTATGGGAATGTCCAGAGAAACAAAGACTTCGAAGCGATATTGAGCTCCACAAGTGGACATTCTTGTCTTTCTCCGCATTTGTTTCGCAATGTACCGGAATTGCTACCCCTGATCAGCCACCGAGCACCGTGCATCTTTATTGAGAGTTGTCCCGTTGAATAGGAGATGGGAGATTAGATTTCCGTGCACAGAGCCATGGGGTAAATGAAACGGGGGGGCGTCAGGATGCTTAATGCTTTGCGGTATCAGACATGGCCCCTTCCCCTCAGTGTGCAATCTAACAAAAAAAAAAAAAAAAAAAAAAAACACCGCTAATTCTAGTGGGAAAATTCGGTACCGACCCGTATGGAAAAGATGTGTGTATTCTCCACCAGTGTGTATGGAGTTGATCAATGGTCTCAATTGTCAGTTGGGAAACAAAGGTGAGGATATCGAAGATACGCCGATCACACGGGAAGTTGAAATGTGTGGATCGGATTGAGTGGTTTGCAGCAAGTGGAGAGAGAAAGCGGGACAAGGTGGACGGAGATTTTTGCGTACGATGTAAAAGACATCAGCACATGTGTACTCGGTATAGACCTCCAAAAGTACGAGTGGCGTACAGAACCAGGATCACACTCTGGTTTAAGAGGCCGTAGTCAGGAGCAAATCTGACTTTCCTATACTCCGGACTTCCCAGTACTCTCCATATAAAAACATCCCGTAAAAGCTCGTGGAGAGGTGGACCACCACAACCATGGAAACAGCTCGGATACCAAAGTTGGTTCGTGATATTGGGGCTCAGATCAATAAGGGACTATACAGACTCAAGTAGCACTACTTTGGAAGAGATTTCGACTGGATTCGAGACAATTGAGGGCGCAAATCGCGGAACACGGTATCTATGTAGCTTCCCAGGTTGCTCTCTTGCTGTACCCACGTTCGAGGAGCCATACGTCAGATGTTTCGGGAGATCCGGTAAGGTAGGGAATATGTGGTAGTACTCTAGAAGTAGATATTGTGATGGAATATTTTGGCGGAGAATGGAAGGAGATGTCTAAGAATATCCGATGGAGTACTAAGGGGCCCTATGATTGGCACATAAATTTGGAGGTCGGGCCCCTTTTTCTGAACTTCAGGAGGTGAAGTACTCCGTACCATGCATAAGATAGATAACAGTCGAAATGGGACAAGGTCAGAGGAAATGGGCAAAGTGAGCCCGTTCGAGAGTAAATCGCAAAGAGTAGAATACAAGTAGTGAAGTGATCATCCGGAGGACTAGCCAAAAGATTACGTTGTGCTCCTGTATCATGCAAAGAGATGCATAAGCATAATTAGTTAACAGATTTTCTTTTCCTTCATATGTACTCTTTCTCTTCATTCAATTCAATCTTGCAATTTCAATTCAAATTTCTTGGAGTGCGGACCTAATCTACCCCGTGTCTACCGTGTCTACCTGGATCTCTCCTCTCCCCCCTCCTATTTTCCTTTTCATCCTCCCTTCTTTTTCTCCCACTTCTGTGAACAGGCACATTCTAGTGTCATTGTCATTGGAAGGTTACGGGGTTCTTTTGTTTACTCTCTCTCTCTCCCGTCTTTTTTTTTTCTTGTACATGGCTCTCCTATTCTAGAGACGTCTCATCATCCCTAGGGATCTCTCCCTTTTTTTTTGCCTTAACCTCCTTTCGTTTCTTCCTACTCGCCTGGTTTCGAGTTTCCTTCTTCTGGCATCGAGCGTCCTTTTTTTTAATCGTTGTACCACTATAGTCTATGTCCACGTTACTTAGAACAGGTATGGTTACCCCCTGGCTGACGCGGTCCCTTATCAACCCCCCCAACGTGCACAGCAAAAGAAGAAAAAGCAAAGCACACCCCCTTTCCTTACCAACTCCACCTTTCTTACATTGCAAAACGTGAGAGTCTCGTTCAAATTGTGATGGATAGCTGACAGCTCTATGGTCACAGCATCCCATTTCGTTCCTCGGATCCCTATTTGACGCGAACACAACTCGGACTTTCTATCTATTATCTTTCCTATTCTTCTTGTGCGAGCATTAGATCACGACCCTGGACACTCGTGATTCTTACCCTTTTTGACAATCTGCTGGAGGGAACAATATGGCAGCGTTGGTTCAAACAATTCCGCAACAGAGTGGCACGGTACCTGTTCTTCAGACGCGTCCTTCATCCTCATCAGGCACCTTCTCAACTCCATCCCAGCAAGGCTCCCGTATCCAGACTATGTCTTGGACATCATTCAATACTGGTAATTCCGGGAGTTATCGAGCGGGCCACCCGGTTGTGGCTCCATATGCCTACAATCCAAACATGGGCCAATCCACCCAAAATCGGCAGTCTTGGACACCACATCTCCGACCAGAACATCGCACCTTTTCCGCACCTACCACCCCTCAAGTGCCGGTGAATCCGACCTACACCGGTGCCAGCCCCCGATCCCCCCATCTTGCAGCTGGTTCTGTATCCAATTCCTCTTCCCGTTCCTATGTTTCCAAGGACGACAGCGCACTTCCCTCACGGCAACCCAGGAGCGACCAGCCGCTCCGTCCCCTTTCTACGGCCAACCTTCCCTCTCCCTCTATGAACCTTCCTTCCCCGAAACCTTCACCGAATCGGTATCGCCGTACCCCTCAACGAGCGGAAGCCGCGGCCGCACCACCCTCGCCTGCGGCTCCCTCTGCAATTCCGACCGTGACAGTTGATGATTTTGGTGGCCCTCGAGCAACTCGACCGAACATTCATAATCGAGTTGCAAGTGTCGATGATTCATCTCATGTCGAAAAGGCCCAGCCTGAGCGATATCGACGAAGAAGCCTGGGCAATATGGATGCCACAGCGTATCCAAACTTGTCGCTGGATTTCCCAACTCCGTCTTCTTCCCAATCTCAATCTCCATCGGGATCCTACGACTTCATCACGTTTGATACCAATCAACGGCCTGCTTCCGCTCACTCTCAGCGGGACAGCGTGGGTAGCGTTCACTCAACACACTCGTCGGCCTCATCGGTAGGATCATTTACAAGGACTCGTGGAAATGATACGGAGCTAACGGTGTCGGCTTCACAGGCACGAGAAGGGACACCAACGGAGTCCAACTCCGTCACTAGCAAGACCGGCAAGCCAGAAGACAAACGTACGAGCAAGCCGTCGCCATTATCCCAACCGGTATCGACACAACCCGAAGCCCCCAAACCCAACCCTCCAGCCGAAACTCAAAAGAAGCCAACACCCCCTGCACCGGAGTCCCCCGCCGCAAAGCGTCTCAATGATTTGAAAAATGAAACGAAGCGCCCTGGGAAATCACGCTTAAGACGGGCTTTCTCCTTTGGCAGTGCTTCCGAGCTCCTCAAGACATCTGCACAAAGCAATGCTGCCAAGCGGGAAGCATTTGCCGCAGAACAGGCGCGCCGTGAAGCTCTGAGGGAACAATTGGGTCCGGAGCAGGCCGCCATCGCCGAGCAACAGGAACTGAGCGGACTAGGTGAAAGCATCTACTCCCATCAAGGCCATTTCTTCACCGGATCCACCGATAACCTGTCTGTATCATCGACCGCTTCATCGGCTTCGATGATGCTTCGCAAGATGGGTAAAGGTATGAAGCGCTCCACTCGCTCATTGGTTGGGATGTTCCGTCCCAAATCGGTGGCCAGCATCAATTCCATGGAGGGTGCAGCTCCCGACGCTTCACCGCCGCAGATCACTGTGGTGAACGTCGAGGCCGAACGAGAGAACGTCGCTGTCAACCCCGATCCTGCAGATCTGTCCCGTGGGGGAACTGTTTTCCCCAAGTTCGAGGGCAATGCGGATGTCAGGCGATCCGCTTCCATTCGAGAAAGAGCCGCATCGGAAAACTCCCAGTCGCGTAAGAGCATTGTAGGAGGAGACCGAGAACGGGCAGAGATCCTGGCGGCCGTCCGGAAGGGCATCTTGAAGAGTGCGTATCTCCACGCAATACACTTGACGCTTTGACATACTGACTAATCTAATTAGAAACTCACTCGGACCTCGGTGTCTCTTCGCCTGCATACGCACTCGCCGGTGGTGACTCCCCGCATTCAAGTGCTCCTGCAACACCCGATGAGGCGTCCCGATCTCCAGCCCACCAAAATGACCCGGTCAAGATTGCTGGGGAAGACTACTTCCTCTCGAGTGCAGGGCGGTTCTCGTCTTCTGAAGCCAAGAGTGCGCCCATCACCCCGTCCAGTGTGGGCGGTCGAAACATCGTCTTCAGTCCTCGCATCCAGTTTCACGAAACCTGGCCTAGCGGCGAGTACGATCGACGTGGAGAGATTGCGACTTGCAATCGTCTCACTCCTCTGCTCGCTCAGCAGATTCGGGAGGAGATCAATAACTTCAAGATGGTGGGTTCCTCGCATTGTTCAATACTATAATTGTGCCTATACTAACAACTTTACAGGAGATGGAAGTCCATGAGAATTCCAAGATCTACACACACTTCATTTAAGTTTTGGGCGGGAGTCTCTAGCGTCGCTCGGTGACCTGCACCTAGCCATCTCTGGCCAGGGTTCTATCCACCGAGCCTGCATTCTTGTCTAGACATGCATCAATTCCGGCGAAATAAGGTGTTTGATGATTTTTCCATCGCATGAATAGAAGATATGCCTATCCGAGTGGATCTTGATTGATTCTGTGGATCGGTGTACTCTCTTCAAAGCGGTTTGACCAATACAATTGTGCTTCTGGCGGATATTTCGCCAATCAAAAAAACGGTGGTCTCTAGTATAGCGTCCATCCAAAAACCTAAGATATTCAGTTCCCACGAGGATCCTATCTTAGGCGTCGATCTAATGAATGTTCCTCCTACCATCTAATCGGTGTGGCGGTGCATAGTCCTCACTTGTTCTCTGCCGTCATTTCATTTTCTATTCTGTTCTGTCTTTTCTGCATCGTGTGCATCTGAGTCATTGTCATCGAGTATTGGGAGCGTGGGTTACTGGACTGTTTTGTTCTTTCATTTTATTTCAATTTCTCTCTCTATTCTGCTGTCCTTTTAGCACATCGTTCCTCATGGTCATCTCTAGGCCCTTTCATATCTATCACTCACTAAGATCCTCTGAATCCAATGTCGAAGCCCTGTTGCATTCTGTTTCTGACATGTCTTTTGTATCTCCTCGGCTGTTGTCTTGCGTAACTGTTTAATGGGCGGTTCTCGTCAGTTGCACAGATTCAATTGTATGTCCTTTTTCGTGATTATACTTCACTGTTACTGTATTTGGCTCCTAGTAGTGTTGTGTCCATAATAAGTTTAAACAGGGCTCGATGCATAGCTTCGTCTTGGTTTGGGGCAAATGAAAGGGTTGCATGCCAGAATGAGAGTAGAAATATGTATTTCTTTTCTCAACCTGGTAAGGCGTATCTTGTTTCAAGCCATCTAGGCAAACAATGATGATATAACATCAAAGAAAGAGTAGGATATCTGAACATCCTTAGCTCTCTAAATAAATAAGTGTTACCTCTTGGGTCCGTATTTACTAGTTGAAACTAGACGACAGTGGCATTCTCACCCTCAAACCGTCGGGTCAGCTGGGAGTCAGTTGGGATATTATATTTATAGCAGTCACCGGTAGCTACTAAGGAGACTCGAAATATTCACGTTTGGGACAGCCAGGCCTGTCTGCAGGATCTCACCCAATCCCCTCATTTGATTTGATCATAGCTTCTTTATGTTCTTCCTTCGGTTTCGCAACTCAGGGCTTGGAGCAACTACGCAACAGTATCAGCTGGAATGTCTTCTCGGTCCGAGATCCCAGCTGAAGAAGGAATGCAGGGATCGGGAAACCGAGACCCTCGGGGTCGCATTTAAGATCAATAATAAGCGGAATGTCCAGAAATTCACAGTTCGGATACGTCGAGTCTGATACTGTATTAAATTAGGGTTGATATTGGATTCTTAAGCGTTAGATCTAATAAAGCTTAGAAGGCCTTACTAAGAGATATTGCTTAACTATTAGTTATTAAACCTAGGCCTTAGTTCTGTAGTCTAGATATATTTAGTTAAAGAGGATATAATAATAGAAATTTGATAGTGATAATTCTGAGATACTACTTACTATAGCCATATAATACTATGAGCTACTATATCAGATAGCCCTAACTCAGCTGGCGGAATCAGATAAAAATACCAATGTGACCAATAACGTCCCCAATCCCAGGGGTCCGTAGATGTACTTTTCATATATCTCTCGCTTTTAGATACCCAGAAAGAGATATATGTATTGGACTGTCACTTCACCCCCACGTTGACCGGAGTGCCACCTCAGTTGGGCCCTTCAACAAGCTAGAATACGAGAAGCATCCCCCACGCGGGAAGATCTTGTCTACATGCAACCGCATCCCCTGTCACTTTGACCCCCGCAAAAGGTCCGTGACCGAAGGAAGAGTATTTGTGGGATAAATCCGGGGTCTGACATTTCTCCAGTTTCCAAGATTACTAGGGAAGACAGTTGGGCATTCCCCGCCCAAGAAGTCTTGGTGACTGCTTGTGTCATACCCTGGACAAGATATCGACGCCACATATCTCACCCTCTACATAAGGGCAGAAGACCCCGGACGTGCATTTTGCAACTCGCCTCGACTTGCCACTGAGATTTTCCTCGTGTGCTTCTTTCCCCCTTTCTACATCCCCTGCTTCTTCAGGAATCTTCTTATCGACACTGGCTTAGACTTACATATTGAATTAGGTAGTCTGATCTAGTTACTTATTTCAATCATTCCCTCTTCCCAACAGTTACTCCCTTCTCACGCTGGAATAGCAAACAACAAACCAAGATGTCTCCTAAAAACTCGGATATCCAAGTGGGAGATATCGACAAGGCTGGAATCGACAATGTCGAAGTAGTCGCCAATTCTGACAGACCCAACCCTCAGAAGGAAGCACCGGCCTACGTTGCGAACTTGACGCCCGAAGAACGCGCGAAAGCTGAGAAAGCCCTCGTTCGCAAGATAGACATACGTCTACTACCTATGATAATTATCATGTACATCCTTAATTACCTTGATAGAAACAATATCGCCTCGGCTCGGCTAGCAGGCCTCGAGGAAGACCTAGGTCTTGTGGGCAACCAGTTCGCGACCTGTGTCAGCATCTTGTTCGTCGGTTATCTGTTGATGCAGATCCCATCCAACCTAATGCTAAACAAATTCGGCAAGCCAGCCATTTATCTCCCTGTGGCTATGGTCCTTTGGGGTGTCATTTCCACCGCTACGGCCGCTGCTCAAAGCTACGCCGGTCTCGTGGTTATCCGCTTTTTCCTGGGGTTCGTCGAAGCTGCCTACTTTCCAGGCTGCTTGTACTTCCTGAGTGTTTGGTACACTCGCAAGGAGCTGGGCTTCCGCACCGCAGCACTGTACTCTGGGTCCTTGCTCTCGGGTGCTTTCTCCGGTCTGATCGCAGCAGGCATTACTAGCAACATGGACAACGTGCTAGGAATGCGCGCCTGGCGATGGCTGTTCATCATCGAGGGTGCCGTCACTATTGCAATTGCATTTATCGCACTTTTCATTCTTCCCAATTTCCCGCGCACAACTAGCTGGCTTTCAGAGGAAGAGAAACAACTAGCCGCGTGGCGTTTAGAAGAAGATATCGGCGAAGACGACTGGGTCGACAGCGAACAACAGACCTTCTTGCACGGCGCCAAGCTCGCCGTCTCAGACGTCAAGACCTGGATTTTGATGCTTATGATCCTCTGCATTGTTTCTTCTGCCTCAGTCACCAACTTCTTCCCGACAGTCGTCAAAACACTCGAATTCGGCAACATCGAGACTCTCCTACTGACAGCCCCACCCTACTGCCTGGCCGTTATCTGCGCCTTTGCCAACGCATGGCATGCAGACCGTACGGGGGAACGGTACTTCCATGTCACCGCACCACTCTATATCTCTGTCGTGGCCTTCATCATTGCGGCTACGACCACAACCACTGCACCACGCTATGTGGCCATGATGCTCATGGTGCCCTCTTTCTACTCCGGCTACGTTGTTGCTCTCGGTTGGATCTCAAATACCCTGCCTCGTCCAGCGGCGAAGCGTGCTGCTGCTCTAGCGGCTATTAATTGTGTGAGCAATGCCAGCAGTATCTATGCTAGCTATATGTATCCGAACTCTCACGCTCCAAGATTTGGTACGTGTTCTCCCACGGCTGGTTTTGTTCCTAACGATCCTTTAACTAATTCTCACCTAGTTCCTGCTATGGCCGTCAACTGCGCAACAGCTTTCATCGCTATTGTATCTGCTACTGTGCTCCGCTTCATGCTCGTACGTCTTAATAAGAAGCTTGATCGTGGTGAGGAGGTTGAGGGTGCTGTCCCTGGCGAAGGAAGCCGCCGTGGTTTCCGTTTCTTGGTCTAAGATTAGACCGACTGCATTTGGACGCTCTGTAGTGGGAAGAATCAAGTATTTTGGCTCACTCCAATAATGTTCGCCTTGTTCTTCATGACTGCATTGTCACAGTATGTAGTATGTCTACTGGACTAGGTACTATAATAGATATCGAGAACATCGCAGAATGATCATATCATCTATAACATGTAGAAAACTAGATGCTATCTGAAAAGTTCCACCACAACCACCTTTTAGGCTACTGGATTCAAGCAAACTTGAGCCTCTCTTCTGTCCACCCAGGCCTCAAATCCTTAGTATCCATTGAAGCAACATCCAAGGAACTATCGGCAAGATAATTAATCCGCCAGTCAATCCCAATACTAGCGCCCTCCTCACTCTGCGCCCAAACCGCCACTCCAATCGTATTATCCCCGGTGTAATCCAAAATCCCCACCGGAACAGGATAGAAAACCTGATTCCCGATATAAGGATTATACCTTCCGTACTGGTACCCATTAACAAACAACTGAGCCCGATACTTCGTCGTCACACCAGCCGGCGTAGAAAGCACGAACGAAATAGACACATCAGTGTGCGCAGGGATAGAAAGGGGAATGGTAGTACGGAAGAAGCGAACCGTCGCACCCTTGAAGCTAAGAACAGCCGTTGTAGACTCCTTAGCGGACACTTCCTTCCCCCAGGCTGAGTCGTCAAAACCGGGTAGATGCCATCCAACGCGCTCGGCAAATAGTCCGTCCTCATTGTACACGCCGCGCACCGGGTCTAAATCCGACTCCCCGCCCGCGGTGCCGGCTAGACGCCAGTGCGAGAAGCCCGAATCAGAGCCGAGGAGGTTTGCGTCCATGATACCGCGCGGGTTGAGGGCACTGGTTGTTTGGTCGTGGCCTGTGTCGTCATGGACGATAAGGAGGACGTTGGGTACATCGGCTTGCAGGGTTGCGTTTGCGAATGACAGGGTTAGGTTTGCTTGGGATGTGGTAGCGTTGCCAAGGTGGGACGCGAGGAATTCGCCGTTTAGCCAGGCGGACCAGCCGCTATAATTGAAAGGTCAGTGTTATGTTGGTTCATTGTGTTGGTCGAACTTACAATGCAGATCCTCCTTGGACGTTGATGAAGGCTCCCGTCGCTGTTCCGTTGAAGTATCCGCGCCATAGACGGACGCCGTTGTGGAATCCATATTCGTCGGCATAGAGGACGGGTAGACTTGTCGGGGTTCGAGGATTCAGTGTTGTCATGTGGTTTGCATCTGCGAAGATCAGCTAGTCTTTCTCGTGTGGTCCTGGAATATCAGTGAGCAACTTACCAACCCACGCCGCGCCGGAATCATCGTAATCTGTGAATCGCTCTGGAAGACTGTCCTTCGATTTCCACGAAGTCAAAGCCGGCAGCTTGATAGATTTCGGGGCATTGAGCGAGCCCTTGAGACTGCCGTACTCGGTTGAATGGGTTTGGACTTTCTTTCCATTCCAGGTCACAGACTTGACACTTTTTGGTGCAAAGATGTCCAAAGTTGTTGCGTTCACGACATCGCCGGTTATAGCGAGTTTAGAGCCCGACAATTTAGCGTCGCGGACGAGATACGGACCCTGAATGAGAACTGCAGTGATAATTAGTATTTCGAGCTTGAGAGGAATGATAAAAAGAACCCACCACTCTCTGTCTCCGGCACGAATGGATCATCTGTGAGCGCAGGAGCCCAGAAGTTATACGCCGCCGTTCGATCAAGCAGGACAACTCTAACACCGTGATCGTATTCCAGAACAGTCGTACCAGCGGACTGCGTGAAAGAGGTTGTCAGACCGCCATGTTCTTTGATAAATTTGACGCGCGAACATCCCTGGCATTTCTTGGTAGAACCCTTCTTGGCTCCCTTAATAGAGAACTCGCCAGACTCGCCAGTTGGAACCCAGAGAACTAGCGTGGGCTTCTTATCGAAGATTGTGTATGTCAGAACCTCGGCTGTAGAGTACAACAGAGTCTTCGAGCCGAAGGAAAAGTCCGTCACAATGATTTTGGACTGGTGTCCGTTCAAACGAATATTGCTGGCATATTTAGGGACAGTCAGAGCACCGACCGAAGTATTAACCTTCAGGTGGAAGGGCTCGTTAGTTGAGAGGGAAGTGTTCGTGTGGAAAGTCGCATAGAAGCCAGCATTCGTTTCCGGATTCCGAAGCTCATAAGCCCTCACGGCGGGATTATCAGTGTACTGTGTCCCATTACCAACCAACTCGGTCATAGTCAGATCCCTTGCACAGCGAGTGAACAATGCCAGCAATTTAGTCTCATGGTATTTCGACCAGATAGACCGATCTTCTGAGATCGGCGCCGAGTAGTCGTAGCTGCTAGCCGTCACTGGCGCAGCCATAGCTCCGGGGTTTTGACCACCGAACATCATATACAAGGACATTGCTGTCACACGCTGCCCGATGTTCCAACGGTAGAACAGATTGGCAAAGTCGTCGCCGATATCGTCAGGGCAGCCGCCTTCAGGCCCGCCCCAGGGGTTGTACGAGCCGCCTTGGAACTCGGGCATGAAACCGGGCATGCTGGGCTGGGACTCTTGGAAGTAATCGCCATATTCCAGGACCTGGAAGGGGATATATGGACCATTGGTGGAGGTGCACTGGCTGAGATCGCAGGTCCAACACTGATGCACAAAGTATTTAGTTTCCGTTGTTCTTTGTGTTCTTCTCCCATCTTATCTCTCGCCGGGGAGACGAAACAATACATACCGAAGGATACGAGTCCACACCAGGGACATCAACATTCCCACCCACATCAGTCCCAGCAGACCAGTCTTTCCCCCACGAGTGCGTGTTCATATTGGGATCATTCACGGTCAGCGGCAGCGTGATACCATTTTCACGAGCATTAGCCTTTAGCAGCTCCATATAAGCAATGGCGGTCTCATTCGGCACACGCAAAGAAGGATCACCCAGCCATTGCATCCCATACTCATTTTCGATCTGATAAACGATAGAGTTATGGCCATCGGTGACCTGGTGATGGCTAGTAATCTCTGTCACTTCGGTAAAGTACGGCGTCCAGGCATTGGTGTAACGGTCATCGTCATTGCGGAGGGTGCCATAGTCACCAGTAGTTACCCACAACGGGAAGCCGCCAGCATTGGCTTCAGCGTTGACGTACGGGCCGGGTCGGACGATGATGTACAAACCCAATTCTTTAGCGAGCTTGAAGATGGGGGTGATATCGCGGGCTCCGGTTATGAAGTCTACTGTTGCATTATTTGGTGCGTGGTACGCCCAGCTGGAGTAGAAGGCGAAGGCTGTGAAGCCGGCTGCTTTGATTTTCTCGAGGATGTCGCGCCATAGGGCTGGTACGGGAATGCGCCAATAGTGGAATTCACCGGAGAAAATGAAGATACGTTGACCGCTTATTTGGAAGCTGTAGTGGTCCCATTGTACGACAGTGTTGAGGCCGTTATCTTGCAGGGGCCATTGGGTGACTGCTTGGTCATCTGCCTTGGTTGCGGCTCCGAGACAAGCTAGGAGTACTAGCAGGCAATTGAAGATGCGCGTCATCTTGGGCCGTGGATCGCTCTTTGACAGGGCGCATGCTTTGAGGCATTGCTGGGGTGGCCGTGACTTTATAGTCGTTTCTCAACCAGCCACTGAGCTTTAGAGTACATGCTGGCGTTCGGTAGGGATCCAAGCAGGGTATCGGATGTTTATTTTCCCTTCTGGATATGTGAAATCTCCGGGGCTTAAACGGAGGAACCCCACATTTGACTAGGTTTAGTTATACAACATAGAGTACGGAGTCTGTACTCCGTACTAAGAGCGCGTACCTATACAGAGAATGTGACTAAGATAAACCGTCACGTGGCTGGGGATTTGTTTACTTTTAGGGGCTATATGGAAAACAGAGTACTACGGAGCACACTTATTTGATATGAAAATCCAACCATAGAATGATGCAAATAAATCAATTCTAGCGTGTTGTAAGCCCTAAATATGTATGACATATAGACCCCACATCTTCCCAAACCCGGTGGAGATATCTAGACATATCAACACGGGTTTTTCCTCCTATCACATTGCCGGATTATTGACGAGGGTGATGGACTTTTTATATTAGACACCGATAAAAATATACAAATAGTATACGCTCGTATACGCTAGTGCAACGAAAAGGCTGCTATGAATACACTCGAAGGCGCTGTAAAAGCAAATCAAATCAAAAACTGTCAAGTCACCACTCCATGAAACTCGGATGGCCGAGACCGGGCCCCGGGGATAGTCAGCCCGAGAGACGATGTTTCCCCGGATATCCCCCGAATGCACCGGCAGCGAGGCCCATTTAATTATTGGGAAGTCCCGAACGGCGGACACTGTCATAGCCGAGCGTCAAATCGTTTTTTTAATCCCCCAAACTCCAAATAATGCGGTATAGGACGTTCTAAAATTGCATTTAAGCATTGCTATCCAATACGCCGAAGGGGTTCTCGCCATTTGTGCTCGGGCTGCTGGAGGGAGACTCCTCGACGACCTTTTGCTTCTTAGCCCCCTTCTTGGCGGGGACCTTGGCGAAGCCCTCTTCGGATTCCGAGCGACTGACCGACGCCGAGGCAGTCTTTGCCTTGGAAGCAGCAGCCGAGCGGGTGCGGATGGGCGAGTCGGGGGTAACATTGTTGGCGATCTTCTTGGCCTGAGCCTTGATCACCTCATCATCGGTAGTAACCTCGCTGGTCTCGCCCTCGATGGCAGCCTTGCGAATCTCGCGGCTCAGACTCTTCAGAGCATCCATGCCTGCCTTCTCAGCGGCCTCCATGTGCGTGGGCTGCTTCACTCCGGGGTCCTTGCGGTTCAGGTAGGAGCGGACGAAAAAGCGCGCGAAGAGGTAGGTGAGGGGAAGGAGGTAAGAGACGTTCAGCCAGATGGCGAATGCCTGTCCGGTGGTGTCGGCACAAGTCACCATCTGCTGGGAGTAGCCAGATTGCTGGACAGGGGCGGCCTGGAAAGAAGTGCCCACGTTCTCGGCAAGGCCTTCGGCGCCAGCAGCCCGGAATGCCAACTTCTTCAGCCAGGAGATCGAACCAACCTCAGCAGTGGCGGAAGCGGCGGCGGAAGCAGCGTCGGTCAGCTGTTGCAGGGCAGCGCTACCAGACGGGTAGGGAATAGTGTAGTGGACGAATAGGTAGGCGGCAGCCATGTTGGTTCCAAAGACGAACTGGGTGATCTGCATGGTGGTCAAGCTGCGCTTGATGGCGTTAGGGACGCGAATGCGGAGAGCGGTCAGGGTGTAATAGGTGTACTACAATGAACAAAAAAAATTAGTTACTTGGCCCAAAAAATCCACATCAATGTGGTTGTTTCAACTTACCATCATAGCGTGAATGGCCGAGTTAACCAGGCAGAAAATCCAAATGGGAGCTGCCATGTAGCGAATACCAGCCCACATGCACATCATAGCTCCCGCGTGGTGGTAGGTCTGTAGGGTAGAGCTCTTCTTGCCCTTGGCCAGAATGATCGCGGTATCGACAACCTCGTAGAACTTGGAGAGGTAGAAGAACCAGCCGAAATAAGCCAAGCCTAGGTTCCACAGACGGCCGGCATCCGTGGGGTCTGGCATGCCGTTGGTAAGGTGGAACTCAGGGTTGGGAATCGACCACTCGTCAGTAATGGGGCTGTAGATAGCGGCATTGCCGTAACCGCGGGGTCCGTTGATCTTGCACAACGAGTCCACGACTCCAACCAGTCCGTGGGGATCGTCACTGTCCGGGAAAGAGCCTTTGAAAGCCTGGAACATGCCCACGAAGGTCCAGGCGGAGTACACGGCTAGGAAGACATTGTGGAGAACGACAAACAGCTTGAACAAGCGAGTGTTGCTGAAGGCATATGGCTTATATCCCCGGCTCTTGTTGATGCGATTGAGTAGGACCACAGTGATTGCGTAGACACTGGCGATTGTGATCGGTAACCGGACGTCCAGCACCTTGGTGTAGAGATCGTTCGGGATGTTGAAGGGCTGCTTCCATGTTGGGGTGTCGACGTGAGGCGCAGGGATGGTTACTGGGAGCTCGTGGGGAGGGAAGGCGAGAAGAGAGGCGGGAGGAAAGGCAATGCGAACAATCGCCTGGCCAAACTTGGTGGGGACGTTGAAATCGTGCATGGTGATCGCCACGCCGAATCGCTCAATTCAACGCGTCACGCAGGAAAGGTGATATTAAGAAAGAAGAAGAATACAAGAAAAAAGATATGCGATATCTCAAGCGAAGGAAGAAAAAAAAAAGCAAAAGACGTTGGAAGTCCAGTAGTAGTGGATCCATATAACCCTTTTTAAATTTCTCAACAACCCTGGACGATCTTGATCCGCCCGCGCCTAGTTTGTTGGGATTTCCAAGGCTTGGCTATGAAACATGCCGAGGTAAGTGAAATATCGCCACTTGCCTAAATAGGGGCTTTGATTTAAGTCGTACATTGGATATATTAAGGAATAGACATATGCATGTTCCTTTTTTTTTCTTTTTCCACTGGGGGGGTTATCTGACCATTTGGGAAGATAACATAAGCCTTGGAATACTCCAGGGCTTCCATGTTCCCTGGAAGAGATGACCGGAAAAAGTCACCAGTGACTGTAACTCTCTCGATCTATGACATCTGGGACATTTCAGCCCTGCCAGAAAAAATAACCTGCTGAGTCAGCTGGTCCCCGTTCGGCCAGACCTGATTTCGAAGGAGAGCTTGCAACCTCGGAACCCTGTACGGAGTAGAGGCCCTAGGGTCACTTGTTGGGGGATTAGATATGTGATTGTCCCAACAAGTTAAGTGCAGATATATAAAAAAAAAACCACCCCCATCACATGCAGCCTCGGTCTTACTGCAATGCGTACAATATTGTATATCGTACATTGTACGTTGTACAGCCATAATGAGAAACTTACCGACGTGAACATTATGTAAGACGTACAACTATCCATGGATTGTACATCGTAGGTCTGCACATATCGTCATCACGACTAAAATCTTCGATTTCCACCCTGTTCATGCTGTAAAAGAAAAAAAAAAAAAAATACGCAACGCCCGGAATGCACAACGTACACATACACACAGTAAAAGGTCCCAGTCCTTAGCGAGGCTTAGTGCTATGGGGGACGGGGGGAGGTCCCGGGAGTGATGGCGACGAAGCGTCAACAGGGGACGCACGAAATTCAGCCCGCTTGGGAGGTGGTGGTGGGGCCTTCTTGCGTTGGACTTGAGTCTGAATGTCAGGTTCAGTGGGTGATGCAGAGTTCGATTGGACTGTGGAGATCGGACGAGAAGGTGGCCGTGGAATCCGTTTGTTGGCTTCGGCAGAGAACTTGCGGTCCTCGACAAATGTGTTAAAGCGCGAGGTAACTCCGCCCCACTTCTCCTTCCCCATGTCGATCTTGTCGGCATGGCGTTCACGGAAATCTTGCACGGAGGATGTGCCCCGTGCGGGCTCGGCCGGTTCTAAGTTCATGCTAGAAGTGTGAGACACGGGCCGGGCCAGTGGGCTAGGCGCTGGAGAAGAGCCAGTGAGCCGCGATGCGTAGCCACTCAATTTCTGTTTGCCTGAATCAATGGAGTCCGCGTGACGCTCACGGAAGTCACCGTACTTTTGCTTCCCCGAATCGATGGTATCTGCGTGGCGCTCGCGGAAGTCACCGTACTTTTGCTTCCCCGAATCGATGGTATCTGCGTGGCGCTCGCGGAAGTCACCATATTTCTGTTTTCCCGAATCGATGGATCCCGCATGCTGGTCACGGAATTGCTGGAGAGAAGATGTGTTGCTCGCAGATTGCGGGTTAATGTTGGTCGAGGCTTGAGCAGGCGGGTTTGGTGCTGATGGGGATCCCATGGTATTCATCCGGGAGAAGCGTGACTGCAGCTCATTGACAGGCGTATGTGCAGGCGACGAAGATTTCTCCTGGCCTATCCCCAAACCTGGAACCGAGACGCCCGCGCTTGCTAGACGGGACGTAGCATCTTGATTAATATAATCGTGAGAGAGTACCGGCGCAGAGGAATAAGCGGGCGGCGCATCGGAGCTGGGGGATCCATTGCGGGCAGGAAGCCGTGGCGGTGGCTTTGGTGGTTTTGACTTTGAGATTGAGCTTGTTGAGGCAGAACTTGCCGAGTCTAGTCGCCGTACTGGTGGTGGAGGGAGATGGTTTGTAGAAAGCCCGCTTGTGTCAACGCGATACGGGACCGGAGGCGGCGCGGGCTTTTGCTCTGCCTCCTCTGCTTCGGCTACTTCTTGTCGTTGGGATTCCTGGACGTTGATCTGTTCCTGGGAAAGTGGAGCTCCGAGACCCCGGCGGTCGGGTGTTGTCTGATTTGGCACCGCGGCTGCTCCATGGTAATTGATATGCTTGGGAGGCGGCCCGAAGGAGGATGGGTCTTTTAGGGCTGACAACGGTTGTGAGACGTGATCAGCGCGACTGGAGTTGGAGTCATTGCCCTTTCCCATCCACCCAGCCTAAAAGCGAGCAAAGGTTAACACAAATGGCCAAGTCGTGAATAGCAGAGTGAGTGAGCTTACCACTTGGCCTCTGATACCGCCCTGTGATGAGGAGCCCTGCCCGGAACTAGAGGAGTCGCCTTCCTTGCCCTTTCCCATCCACCCAGACTAATAGCCAGTATAAGTTAGCATCAATGGCCGAGGTGTGAGTATGAAAGAGTTTGGGGAGAGCTTACCACGGAGCCTCTGATACCCCCTTGCGATTCAGAGTTCTTCCCCGACCCAGAGCCGGAAGAGCCACCCTCCTTGCCCTTTCCCATCCACCCAGCCTAATAGCAAGTACAAGTCAGCATCAATGGCAGCCCGAGGTGCAAGTCCCAGAGGGGAGGGCTTACCACTTGGTTAATGCCTTTGAAATCACCACGCCAGCTCTCCTTTCCACCTTCCTTGCCTTCAGGGTGCCAGCCACCCTTCATAGTATTGCGTAAACCACTCATTGTGCTGTATGCTGCAGTCCTCGGGCGTGCGGGGACAACAGTTGTTAAGCGGCATAAGCGGTACGGGAAACCGTGACGACGATATCCCCACCTAGTCACGTGCAACCTTGATCTAGTAATTGATTTGCATTGCCTGCTAAGTGGGGACTGTGCAAGCTTTCCTGCATAATCTGCAGTATGCTTAACTCTGTACACCAAAGTGGATATAAGATCATTGAAACTCCAGGAAACCACGCAATCAAGTTCACGTGCTGTGACTGGCTTTTAAAGTGTATTGATTGTCAATAGGGTAGGCGGTCTGCCTCCGTGTCCCATAACCATGTCCCATACAAACCAAGTAGGCGGTATATCGTGGCACTAAAGTGAGGTTATGTTGAACTTGAAGGGTGTACCTTTCGCCCTTCGGGGCATATGGTCAACAGAAAATATACAGAGAAGATTAGCATGGCCCCTGCACTAAGGATGACACGCTCAATCAAAGAGAAGCTACCTATTTTTTTTTTTTTCCTTTCCGGACCCTCTATGGAGGGTATACTAATGTGGATCCCTTAGCAGTATATAATTGGCCCTACGCTTTTGAGAAGTCACGTGTAAATGCATATCTCATTGGTCGGGGTTCGAGACTTCCCAACGATTATTTTTTAGGTACTCCGTAGTGGAGATGTCTAGCCTAGTCTGGGTTGTTGCTTCGATGCTCAGGATAGTTGAGCAACTCGGACCGACCTTGTGCTCTTGTACTTTTCACCGAATCAATATATCTTACATAATCGTCTCCGCCCATTTTTTTCTATGCCGCTGCTGTCCTAAGTTCGTCGAGGAATTTATATCGTAGATTAGAGGAACACCCATGAACTAGCAACGGATAGACGGAATCTCGCATACCATGCAGATACCCATAACTGAACAAACTACTCCGTAGCATTTCCAGTTCTCTTTATATCGGAATCCTAGGGCGTGATCTCAATTTGCCATAATGCCTGGATACTTTAGAAATAGACAATGGGAATACGAGAACTTGGTCCACATGAAAAGACTAATGAACTAGATATCGAACCAACGCATTGGGGCCCAAGGATCGGAGACCAATAGGACTGGCCTCGATTTCAAGTATTCAAGCTATTCTTCATGAGACTAGGGTCCGCTGGCTGCCTATGGGTCTGAAAATCTAACCAAACTCAGAGCTGCTGGGAGGGAAATTGACCCCTAGGTTGTTTTCCAAACACTGCAAAATGAGGGATGGTGCCTTCTAAGAATACCAATGGGCAACTTGAGATTACCTTCTAGCGGAAGGAACGAGAGAAATCTATGAAAAATATCCATCTACATAGTTGGAAAATGACAAGCGGGATCATTGATTGACGAGAAATCTTTAGTCGAGACTCTCTTGGAGAAAACGTCGACTAAGATCGTTCTCTATCCATTGCTCAATTAGCCCAACGCTATTTCCAACAAGGTAGTCGTAGTTTGCACCCTGTGGTATAAACATGGACTGGTGCGCCATGACTTCGTCCATATCCTCCATTAATATTGGCTCCCAATGGGAATTATCGTTGTACTTCCAATGATGTGACGGTAAGAGAATGAACTTGCGAAGTTGTTGTTGAGAAGGGGCTGATGACTCCGGGGTATTGATGGACCCACTCTCTGTCGAGAGGGAAGTGCTCCCTGAGAGAGACTCCTCTGATTCAACAGCAGTTGAGATAGACGATGTGATACTTGTATCATCCACCAGCGGGGTATCCTTGTCACCGCTGGCTTTTTCGGTTGCCATTGAAGAATGAGAAGCGACAGTCTTCAACGGCTTTCTTTCTATTGCCATGTCGCTCATGGAAGTGTTTACTTCATTTTCTTCGGAACTTGGTGCCTCTGAATATTCCTGCGAATGTACTCCCGTCACACGTTTATCCATATCAGCTTTGATCCTTGCTGTAGCCTTTTTCTCTTTTTTTGCTGACTTTTCGGCTTTCTTTTCGAGTTTCGTCTTGGACTTCCGCGGTTTGCGGCCGGTGCTCGTGGTATAATAATTGACAAATCGTACTCTCCAGGGACTGGACTCAGCAGCTTCCAGCTCCATCAAGTGCCGGTACCGCTGACGAAGCTCAGAGTAATTATTAACACAACCGGCAAATTTTAGGGGTGATACGATGCGTTCGAAGATAGATCGCGAGAGATTGTCGGTGTTTTTGTTGACAAAATGCATAATCCCATTGAGGAAGCCACGATCAACCAGACGCACATCGTTCATGAATGGCGGGTCAAAGTTAGGGTTGGAAGGGGCGGGTTTGAAGGCTGGATTCAAGCCTAGGGATTCTTGTTCTTCTGCGAGCTTCTCTTCAGCTGCTGGGTCCTTTTTGGGCATTGATCCCATGGTCCCTGTCGGTATTACACGGGGATGGATGCCCAGAAAGGGGACATCAAATCCCACTACCCCCAAAATTCGATGCTTCGGTTGTCCATCTTGTTGTAGACGCGCAACGTCTGCAGCTAAGATGCCGCCGAGACTATGTCCTAATAGGATGACATCCAGGTCATCTGCCTCATGTGGTGATAGCCTGCAAGTATCTGTTAGTACATGTGTTTTTTTTTAATTTAAAAAAAAGCCGCCTAGATAGAGAATGTCTTTTGTTGTGTGAGCATCACATACCAAGTGCTAAATTGATCCACTGCTGTTCTAATCTCGCCCTGAGACTTGTATCTGGGATACATGCGGGTGTAGACCACATGCGACTCCGCCAGAGATCCCGTTAAGAGATCATGAACATGCAGTGGAAGGTCATGAAAGCTAGCTTCTGATCCCATAAAACCATGGATATAAATCAGTAATAGTCTGCGCTTTTCTGTTCGATGTCCTCCAGGTTGAGACAGCGACAGACTAGACTGAGAGTGGTCGCTGCAAGTACGGATATTTCCCTCCAACTCCATGGTCCGAATAGGCCAACTAGACCGGTTGAGATAGGAAAATGAACAACAGACCTCCCTTGGGTCCCTGAGATTGGAACCTTGGGGATGCGGGGGGGCTTCAGATTGCCACCGAGGCTTACTAAGCCACGTCCCCGATATCTAGAACAGAATCAAAGAGCTATAGTAATCATTTTAGAGGCTGTCTTTCTTGTCTCTCCAGAATCTATGTTCATATTTCAACTACCTGACTTCGTATCAATAAGCCAGCTAACATGAGCGTTCCCCTCCAAGCCACATCGATCCATGCAGGAACAAGCATAGTTTACAACTTTCACCGGTAGGTGCATATACAAACTATACATTATGAGGTTTAAATATATATATTGATTGCTTATAAGCGCTCCACTTCTAATGCTTCTACTCAATTGTTCGGGGTATCTAGCTTTTTAGCCGCATATAAAAATAGATAAGTAATTCCCATACATTTCCATCACGCATATGCTATATACAGCCAGCTATATCACCTCTCCTGAAATGCAATATGTACCCAAAAATTCTATACCGCTCCGTGTGCATTGGCATCAGAATGACTAGAAACAGGCATAGAATTTTCCTGCACTCCCCATTCCCCCTCTTCGATCTTTTCCGCGTAGAATCGAACCAGCAGACCGACCGTAATTGGGCCAATGATAGTGTTCAAAAGAATGGCCCAAACACCAGTGATGAAACCTTCTTCACTGACGTACGGAGTTTCGTTATGTCCGATTTCGATGATCAAAAGCCCAATCTCACCGCGTGCTACCATGGCAGACCCTAAAAGTGCTGCAGCGAGCCAGGCCCGCTTCCAACGGTCTCCCTTCCGTTGCGTGCTTTCATCGTCACTTGTGCTGTCGTTTTCGCTTTTTGGTTCTCCCCGAGTCTTGTGCTGGTCAGATGACTCATTCTTATGAGATTTATGCAACCGAGCGAGTTGCCAAATGGGGATCCAGATTCCAACGATACACTAGATGCAAGACGTCAGTTCTGTGCCGATAAAGGGACTTAGGGGTACCAATATACCTTTGAAAACGCCATAAGAAGGGTGTAAACAATGCCTCTCCAAATTCGTTTCCCTGTCCACAGCTGCACGAACGGAATCGCAAATCCAATGCTTGCAAAGAACAAAGGCTCCATCAGATACTGCTGAGTCCCTAACAGATATTTCTCAAATGTATGGATAAAAGTGGGACTTTTATCCGCCTCACGCTCGCCTTCCTCCCGGCTCATAACAACAAACGGACCTTCGGGGTGCTTGCTTGGCAGATATGAGATAAAAACGCCTGCTAAAAAGGCACCGAATAGGACGGATGTACCAGTAAAGCCAGCAATGGCAACAAACGCCGAAAGAACAAGGGTCATGAGGATGATGTTGGAAATATGGTCGAATCGCGCAAAGTGGTATTCAATGAACGTCCGGAAAAAAGGCGCAAAGACCCATTTGGTGACGATGGGTGTGACGATGGCCATGGCAATTGATGCCACTATGGGACGCCCGATAAGCCAACCCAGATTGACATGGCCATCTCCTGAAATTTCGCCCAAGTCGCCAATGACACTATGTAGCTAGTCAGCCTGGCAAATCGACCACACACTTGCCAGTCGAAACAATTAACACACCTTAACATAACAAGCCCTACAACATCGTCGATGACAGCAGCGCTCACTAGAACTGACCCCACTCGGGTCTCAGCGAGATTGACCGAGCCAGATGCAGAGCTGATCACAGCAAAGGTAGTGCCTGTTGTTGGTCAGCATAAGAAGCTTGCACATTCAGTGGAAATGATCATTACCAAGTGAAGTAGCGGAAAGAGATGCGCCGATGATGAAGGTCTCAACCGCCCCTGGCCTATGTTAGCTCTTTGACTATAGGAATCGGGGCAAGTAAAACAAACCATATCCAAAGCCAAGATATAGTAAAGGGAATGAGAGACCAATTGGAAATACAACGCCAGTTGCCGCTCCAATCATACTCAGAATGAAATTCTGCTTGAGAAGATCAACACGAGTGCCAAGACCGCCTAGAATGTATGACATCAGTATCCAAGAGATGCCGAGCAGCCAAGACAAAAATGTTTTCACACCTTCGAAAATGATCAAAATCAGACCAATATATCCTAGAACCGAAAAGGTCTTCTGCCAGTCATGTTCAAGGATATCGGCTAAAGGTACACCGTAGATGATACCGACGGCGATTTGACCTATAATTCCGGCCTGGATTACCTTTGCCGAGACCCATTTTGCGAGGGAAAGGAAAAAGAAGAAAGAAATGATGATGAGGATATCGACAGCTACAAACAATCAGTGAGGAAATGAGCAGAGATCAATTGGAATATGCTCGAGTACATACTTCCAGGTTCGTGGTATGGGAGGAAGCCACCTGCCATACTAAAGTTTTGTTTTTGACAAGATTGAACGAGGGAACTCCAGCACTTAAGTGCACAATAAAGTGTGAAGACCCGTCTGTGGTCCTTCACCGTCTAGGCAGTCTGGGCAGTCTGGGCAGTCTGGGCATGATTTGAGCATCTTGAGTGGATTCGAAGAAGCGTAGACATTGGATTACCGGAAACGGAACATTACTCATCTCAAGGCTTCTACTCCGTACGATTCCCGCAATTGTTGGGTCCGTAAATTCGTTCCAACATCATAGTTACCTCATCCAGACTATAAATGGAATAGCGATTTCTCAGATACTATTATTCTCTGGTTATAGGGAGGGGATTGTGGCTAGATATGTAGCCAACTGTCACTCTAAGTTACTGGCCTGAACCCCTAGGCATCAAGCTTAACAGGAATCAATAACTAACCTCCACAGGCTCGTAGGAACACCAAAAGACAGGCAAAAAGCTAACGAAAAACGAGATGCGAATTCCAATACCTAAAAAGGTTGCTCACTGAGTTTGGATCGCTAGGCTTAGGGTCCCTATGATAGGTCTGGACCCATCACAGTAACATTATTACAGGAGACCATCTTTGAAGTAGCAGAATTATTTCACAATGTTCTGGAAGGCAGCATAGAACATATAATCAACGTCAGCCTATTAAGCTTTAGTGGGACCTCCTAACGAACTTGTATCAAATTAGGAATATGGATTAACATCACAGCTTGAAATTTGTTCTATGTGACCTACAATTAAGTACGGAGTATTCCGTATGTATATCTCTCTTAGGATTAGGATACCGAGATTTTGAAATATCTTCGTACATTGTATCTTCTTGACTTAGCCACTGGATCTAATTTTAGCGGGATTTCGGTCCTTGCTTTCAGGCCCGACATTATGCACGATATATATGTGATCGAAAAAATATCAAGTTCGAATAGTTGATGACCTGAAAGTAGACAATGGCCTTGCATAATCTTGTGTAAATAATAGATACCGAGATTGGAAAGTGGAAGCTGTACTCTTTTTGATTCCTTGTCAAATGTGGTCGCTAACTATTGGCTCCCTACGCCGTTTGGATGCACATGCAACTCCTGTCAGCATCGGCGTCAAAGCAAAAATAATCCAATAATAATACTCCCCCGTAAGCCTGACAACCCTGCGAGCTTCCCCCGCCTCTATTTCAAAGAACTAAACAGAAAGTGGTTAGGGTTCGTGTTGATCCTACGTGGCCCCCATATTAGTGCGAACATCGTAAAAATAGCATCTTCGAGCCTCACGGGTTTGAAGTTTCATTTATACAGAGAACATCGTAAGAATTATGGTGATAATTGCTTTGGCAGGCAAATGTGTCAATACAGAGGGATCGGAGTGTGAGGTTTTTTTTTTATTGACGCCGAGTCTAACGCTGCATATCGAAGCGCTTCTTTGTTAGACCGTCTCATCTTGAGGGCAGTGCTTCAATCCCCACCCTGGGGCTGTTGGGCTGTACATCATTTGTGATCATTCGCTTTTGTTCTTCTAAAGGATCTTTTGGAAGTATTTTCTGTCACCTTCGAACCTCCATTGTGCTCTCGAATTTGGAATCTAATTACTTTATCCAAAGACATCGAGGAGTTACCCAAAACGGGATTTAATGAAAAAAAACCCTAGCGCCAGTCGGGTCTTTTGTACTATCTCTTCCTGCCAGTTCTTTGTCTTCTAGAGGTCGCTTGGAACCTTCACATAAGATCAAAGTGCCCCGAGAATCTAGATTTCAACCCACCGTACCTGCTATGAGGTTCTTGCCATTTGCGATGTTGGGCACTGTACTGGGCGATCCAGATACCCCGGACTCCAGCACATCGAGATATATCGAGACCTCACCAGTGGCATCATCGGCCCAAGATGTGGTGTTCACGACGACAGCCGGCGGACTAAACAAGAATTTTGCACCAGAACCGTCAAGCGTGGTAGACCCAGCGACGATCTCCAGTATCCTTCCTAATGGATCGGAGTCATGGCCCTCACGTACCGATTTGACATATACAACATCAACCGAGACACCAGCTGTCAAAGATATCAGTTCATCAGAAACCAGTCCAAACCCAACCAGGCCACTGGATGCAACAAGCTCGTATCATCCATCACCAACACAGTCAATCACACCTTCAAATTCAAACTCATCCGCTCTCACGTCCACCAGAACAGCCTCTTCAACAGCCACAAGCTCCGTTTCCTCAACAACGTCAGCAGTCAGCGACTCAACCGCTGTCTCCGGCGGCCTATCGAAAACAACAAAAATAGCCATAGCAGTCCCATTGTCAGTAATCGGCCTAGTCTTAATACTAGCGCTGCCATTTTTCCTCTCCCGTCGACGACGCCGCGAAAAAGAACGCAATGCCCTGCCCCCATCATACGATATAGCAACAGGCCACCGAAGCGCAGTGTCAACACAAGAGCTAATGATATCCCCCAAATCATCGACACCAGAGCCAAGACGTTCATTCTCACACCCAGCAATATCCTCACCAGTCATGTCCATGTCCATGCCCCCCATGCCCATTCCCAGGATACCAATTATCAGCATCTCGCCCTCGACGGAAAGTCGGGGCAGGACACCTAGTCCTGGCCCCAGTTCTGAAAACTCCCTGCGCCGCATGTCTATGGCCCGCGGGCCCAATGACTCCGACGCGGAGCTTGGGGTTGCGGTTGCGGTTTCAATGGATCAGAGGCGGAGTGCTACTGAGCAGGATTTCAGGGGTCGGGTTGCGTCTGTCACATCCTCGAGGGGACCATCGCGTTTGGCTAGGATGCCGTTTGAGGATTTTTCGGATGATGAGGTTGGTATTGGCATTGCTCATGGTGGTTCGGATGATGGATATGATGATGATGCTATTTCTGATGTGTCAGATTTAGATGGGCGAAGGAGAGAGAGAGATTTTGATGAGCATTCTGCGGTGTCGTCTTTTGATGAGGTGTCACCGATAGGTGAGCAGGAGAGGAGGCGGTTTCGGGGTGTCTGAGGGTGCTAGTAAGATGATATGATAGTATAATGAAGCCAAGCTTGGTCTAGAGCTTCTATTACGTGGGGTTCTTTTGGTTTCGGGCGTTTTGATGAGTCCAGTGAGGCTATTCATTTTCAGGGTTTCATTTTAGGAGGCTACGAGTTATTTGTTTCAGACTATGTACATGAATATGATTGGAATGATAGCTGGCCACAACAGTCATAGTAGGGGGCATTTTGAGGTCATGTGCAGCGTGAGAATGAACTACACTCATCACTGAATCTTGTTCCCGATTATCGTGCACCACCGAATTCGACCTTGTGGGCAGTGGCCTTTCCGTGCGTCAGTTCCCGGAGAGCCATGGTGGCATACTGGCTTGATCCCAGCTGGAACTTCAGAACAACGGCCAGCTTATCAGCTGTGGTCTCGTCGGTCATGGTGGTATTGGCATTCTCATCCTCAGGTTTCAACTTCTGCATATCTGTCTTAACGAACTGCTCATCGTCTTTGGAATAAAGCTTCACGTCGAAAGAGTAGTTATCTCCCACCATGCGGCTGAAAATCTTGCGGTAGCCGCCGCTAAGGCTAATGTCTTTCCACTTGCGACGCATGTTGGACGGGTCAATGCCACCACCTCGTTCGCTTTGCATGAAGCGACGATAGAATTCCTTCATTTCGTTCTCGGGATAGATAATGTCGTATCCAGGCTGGGGAAGCACCAAGTCAAAGATGGTATATTTGCCACTGGCTGCCTCTTCGGCCGTCAGGGCACGTGCCCGCATGAACATGTCCTCGGCCGCAACGGCACTGTCCTCACCCTGGGGAACCACAATAATTTCACCGTCAGCATCAACAGTCTCAGCAGCCTCGACAGCAGAGTCAGATTCTTTGTCGCGGTGCTCTTGGATAATGACAAGATCGCCTTCCACCACCCGGTCGCCGTAGAGTCGCCAGCGCTCACTGACAGCAAAGTTCCAGACGAGTGACTGGTATGCGTGCACGTACATCAATCGCAGGTTCCGGGGAATACACTGCAATGCACCCAAATAATCCTTTCTATTCCGACCGAGGTGGCGGATCAAATTGTTTTCAGCGGAGAATTTGCGCGGGATCTTTTGCAGAGCGTCGTTGACGTTACCGCCGGTCTGGAATATATTGATGGCCATGGCACGATCCTTGTCATCAGTGCTGATATTAGCAGTAGACATTTTCCCCTCCATTGCCGCCTGAAGAGATTCAGGAGCATAATGCAAAATAGCATCGCACGCGCCCTTGTAATCTCCTTGCAACATCTTGACGCCGACTGTGTCCGTTCGGGTTGCAAAGGTTCCAAATCGCTGGAGGCCGTAGTAGTTGAAGTATCCTCGTTGGTAAAGGTTCTTCAAAGATTTACCGACGATGTCAGATGCCTTGGCAATCGCAGCCTCGGGATCACTCAGGCTCACGCCGGGAATTTCAACGTTGCGCAGAGTAACCACGAACTCATTGCCCTGCAAATCTCCAAGCTCTAGTCCCTGCTTGCGGTACTCAAAGTCTCCAAGGAAAGCATTGCGAAGTTCCGAGTTCACATGTGCAAGCCGGTCGACTTTAACGCGCACAGCACAGGCACGCTGCACGGTCACACCCCGCCTATCCTTGGTCCCAGCAAATTGTAAAGACTTGGGGTTCATCTTCAACGAGCGGGCGATAAAGCCAATGACTTCCATTGTGTCCTTGTTTTCCTTGTAGATGGTGAAATGCAGGTATGGCCCGCCGAGTTCTTCCCAGTTTGTTCTGTGTCCCTGGAACCGAGCGTTGGCTCGTCCCCCGGCCGCGCCTCGCTTGAATCGATTGTTCGCGGCGGTGATTGACATATTTCCTTCTGCGTCGGTACTAGACTCTAGCTGAGAGTTGAAAATGCGACGGATGGCCTGGTGGATCTTGGTGCGAAGGTCGCGATCAGACACAGCAAATGCGACTTTTCCAAACTCACTGGGCCGACCCTTCGGCTTAGCCATAGCTACTTTGTGAAGTGCAATTATCTCGGCAGCACTTTGAGCGCCAAAGTATTCCTCCAGAAGAGTGTGGTCCTCTTCTGAGACCTTGAACTCCGCTGGTTTTTCCGCATCCTTGGCCGGGGTACCATCATTTTGCTCTGTAGCTTGGGTTTCCGCCTCGGGGGTTTTCTGCGCAGGTGCGAGCTTGTCGAGCTCACTGGCTGTATCAATGCTTCGGAGGTGGACAACTTCGCCGTTTGTCATGATCTCATTGACCATGAAATCTGTGTACCTGACGATTTTTTTTAGCGGAATCTTAGACCATAGAAACAGGATAGCTCACCTTTTTTTCAGGATACCCGAGAATCCCTCGGTGTCGTTACTCACAAACTCCGTGATTCCGACCTCGACTTCCTTCAGAGCCTGCGCATCTGAGACTGCGGTGCTGGGGGTCTCATTTGCGCTATCAACGGCGAGAGCGACTTCAATTGAGCCTACATCTTCGGTCTTCTGTCGCTTGCGCGGAGACTCCACGATATCTGGCTTCTCCATCTTGTATCGTTCGTAATGGGTGGGGATGGGTTGGAGAAGGTTGAGCTTCAGGAACTTTTCTTTACTGATTAGGAATAGCGCGACAGGGCCAAGTGCGGGTCAGCCCTACTTACCGCGTTGGGACGGAGAACTTATACTTCACTTGTACTTCACTTCATTGAATGTCTGACTCCTTCAATAGTCAATAGATCCCATTCAGTGTAGCCTACTCAGGTATCATTCACCAGCTTAATCTATAAATCCTATTCCTGAAATCATGAATGGTGAAAGGAATATAGCTACCTAGTGTGAATACAAAAGCAAGCATTATCTTCAAGGCTCAGCAACCCTTAGAAGCATCCTCTCAGCACACAATAATAGGTCTATCGCCAGCTTCAATTATACGACAACCAGGCCAGGTACTGGCGAACTTCCGATGCAATTATCATCACGTGGACCGACTCTGGGATCTTAATTCCGTTTCAAACCAATTGCTGTCATCCATGCAGTTCTGTTATCGCGATTTATGTCTCAAATCATTGAAATAAGACTTATGATCATAAGAGGTGTGGTCAATGGGTAACGATGACGGTCTCTTCAGACAAATTCCATGTAAACTAATCACAGAGGCCAATGTTTCCACAGAATTCAGTGTCCATTCTTGATATAATTGAGAATATTGTTCATTCAATATCGTTCTATCCAATATGTCATGTCATTTCATTTGGATGAATAGCCATGCCTAAACTAAACAAGCTGCTTGAGCTCACCTCAGTTCGGATCGAGGACTTTGCAAAGTAGCCAGACAAATTTCAAAGCACGTGTGGTTTCTTCTACATCCCTAGATGGACTATCCTTAGTAGCTTCGTAAAGTTCGGGCTACTCCTTGTTTGTTGAACACGGCCAAATATAAACCAAGGGGTGAGAAAGAAGGAAACATGTCCCAGTCTATAGAGCGAAAGCATATATTGTATCCAAGGGTATGCAGCACCAAATCCCAATCTCTGATTAAAGCACTGCGCACCGGAATCAGGACCACTACGAATTGTAAATCAGACGCTCCGACAGCGCGAATGACTGGACGCTTTCCGTGCAACACACCGAAGAGGTCCACCCAATCTCCGATCGCAGCTGAGAAGTATCGCTGATCGGTCCTGTACATTGGAGGAAACAGAGGCCGAATCCTGAGGTATAAAATGTAGTCGCTCGCCAGCTGTTCTGGGTATCATCAACCATCCTTCTTTGCGGTTTATCTCTAAAACCATTCGGTGAGACTCATTTCTATCTGTCATCCATTGCATCCCGCAGTTGAGCTAACTATTGGTTGATGTTTCTGCAATTAGCTCGATCTACAACAATGAAGTCTAACTTCCTTATCGCGCTCTTGAGCTTGGCTGTGGCCGCTGTTGCTGTCCCTACCAGTACGTCACCAGTCATTTCGACGCTTTATTTGCTTCAAACGTTTCTAATTGACTGATTATGATAGATATTGGTACCGGACTTGGCGCCGGCAGCGGTGGCGGCGGTGCCCTGAGCGGCGGCGGTGGTGGCGGTGGTTCCATCGGCGGAGGGCTCGGCTTTGGAGGTGGCTTTGGCGCTGGTTCTGGAGCCGGTGCGGGTCTTGGTGCCGGTGCCGGTGCTGGCGACGGCAACTGAATGGATGGCTTGGGGCTGGATTAATGCGCTCGACCCGTGTAGTCCGTTGAAGTGGTCTCTTGGTAGGATGATAGCATCACAGGATTGGCAATGACAGTTTCAGCCCCTACTTAATTTGCATCTATGAATTTCAGAGCTCAGGTGGTTTCTAAAATATGACTGGCTGCAAAGCAAAGGTCTTTGGTAAACGAAAGGAGATCAAAGACAATGAAACTTGTAACGCTCAGCCCAAACTCCGTCTTGATTCTTTTTCTATCTTCCAGGTTGTAGTGTGCGCATGATACATAGGTTGCGTTAGGATGAAATGCTCTGTACGGGTCAAGAACGAAAAAAAATCATACAAATGTAAAAGAACAAGGGGATGGTTATTTTACAGCTCATCTTTGGGAAGATCCTCCTTCTCCTTGGGCTGATCCTTGGCCTTCTCGGCCTCGGGCTTCTTCTTTTCCTTTGGTCCCTTCTTACCATTGCTGCTGCTGCTGCTCTTCTTCTGCTGGCCAGCGGCTGAAGTCATCCTCTCATACATGCGATTTAAAATGCGCTCGAACTCGCGTAGCCGCGAGTCGACCTCCACGACGGTGAAAGCAGGGTCATCAGACTCCCCAAGCTTCTCTTGCAGACTTAGTTGGGTCTCGAGCCAGGGGTTGGTGGACTCGTAGGCTTCGGTGATGGCCGTGAGGTCGGCAGGAGTGAAGAGGGAATACTTGGGGCCTGTGGGCTTAGCCGTAGCGCTACTCTTGGTAGGTGTGGCAGAAGATGAAGAAGTAGAGTATGGATCTTCATCAAGATCATCGACACCTTCGTCAGAAGTGGCTGGGGCTGGGGTCGATGAGCTGGTCTCAGTGGAAGTGGAGGTGGCGGCCGCGCTTGCGGATGAGAGAGAAGAGGAGTAGAGCTGCTCGTCGTTCTCAATCTGGTTCTTGATCAGTTCCTTCATGGACTCAGCGTTTTTGAGCATGTCCTGGAGCAACTGCACGCGTGCGGGGCGAGAAGAGCTCTCTTTCATCCGCTTCAGTGCAGGGTTGACGATGACCTTCAAATCCTTGAGCTTGGATTGGAAATCAGCAGTCTTGGCGTTGTCGCTCTCTTCGTACAACCAGTCGCTGGCCTGAGAGACTCTCTCGGAGAGAATAGCTAGCTGGTCTGGCTTGACTGCTTTGATGAACTCCTCGTTATCGGCGAGGTCTCGGCTGCGGTAGATGAAAGATTCCAATTCATTGAGAGCCTCTTCGCGCAGGATGCGCTCACGGTCCGAATTATCAAAAGCAAGAAGGCGGTTATTGATGCGACCAAGCTCTGCGACTGATGGCGCTGGAGTTCCAAGCTCCACGGATTTCAAGCTAATCGGAATAACTTCAAGCTTGACTTGGGGGGGTGGCCTTTGATTCCTTCTTTGACTCTTTCTTTCCATCCTTCTTTCCATCCTTCTTTCCATTCTTTCCGTCCTTGGTGGATGTGGTGGTAGTCTCGGAACTCGTGGAAGATGCAGTGGAAGACTCCGTCTCGGGCTCAAGGGTGATGGATTCACGAGGTTCGCCATCTTCCCCAAGGGGCTCCTGTTCGTCTTTCTTTCCAAGGCCAAAGAAGCCTTTGACGTCTTCGACAATTCCCTTCTTCTCAGCTTCCACCTCGCAGCTAACGGTACCAGCCATGACTTCGGGAAGACCGTCCACGGGGCTAAGGCGGATCGTGAACTTCGTGGTAATGTTCGCATTGGTACATCCAAAGTTATCCTTGAGCTTGGCAACCGACGCAGTAAGGTTCTGGGTCTGGACACTAAGGATGGGGTGTTCTTCATCCTGGGCAACATGCTGGGCGAAGCTGAATTCGAAATCCTCTAGATTTTTCACAGTGACTTGCTTCTCAGGGCCGACCTGGGAAGTGGCGGTAAACAGCCTCTGGTTTCTCTGCTTGCCATCTGAGTCCCACTTCAAGGAGATGGGGTATGCAGCAGCGTCACCGGTGCGAATATCCTTAACACGGAAACTAGGGCTCAAAGCAGCTCCTTTGAAGGCAGCACCAAACACAGCTGCCTCATCAGCGTTGACGTTGGTTCTGATCTTTTTGGAAGAGCCGGCGAAGGTTTCCAATTGTCTCTGGACGAACGGAGTCCGAATTGCTCCACCGTGAAGCACGATGGATTCGATGTCGCTCAATTGAAGGCCGGCTGCTGTCAAAGCCTGCTCCACAGGGGTTCCAATGCGAGCGACATGTTCAGCAGCCATCTTCTCAAAGTTGGCACGGCTCAATTTGTACTTGAAATTGACATTCTCGTAGTACAGTCCCTCGAAGCTTGTCGAAGTCTCGGTATTGGCACTCAGAACCTGTCGAATTTTCTCCGAATCTTTCCAGAGTCTGGCCATGGTCTTTCCGTGCGCCTTTATTTCAGCTGGAGTAGCCTTGCCCTTGATATTCTTGTCTTCCGCCAAGTGGGCGACCATGTCGTCCACAATGAGGTCGTTTAGAGAGTCGCCTCCAAGTGACTTGTCCCAACCAGCTCCAACAACATGAACTTCCTGGATAGTCTTGTTAAATTTGCCAATGTCCTTAACCTTGCGGCTTTGGAACCGCAAAACACTCGCGGTGGTAGAACCAGCACCCATGTCATACACTATGTGGTACTCGGGCTTCTCGCCATCAGAAACGCTGGGGAAAGTACGGCTGGTAGCGTAGTTCAAACCAACAGCCAGCCCATCACTGACAAGAGCCTGAATCCTCAGACCCGCCAGCTCAGCCGCCAACTCGAGGCTGTGCTTTTCCTCCGCGGTGTAGAAAATAGGATAGGTAATCACGACATCACGGACATCGGATCCCTTTCCAGCCAACGCATCTGCATTAGCCTTAATTTGCTTCAACTGCATTGCCAGGATCTCCTCGACCAAGAAGGCCTCCTTCTTCTGGGCCTCTCCTAGCCGGTTGCTGCGGAGAGCAACAGAGCCGCGACCATCGGGCGCGGCCTCCAATCTCAACGCGGGGAATCGGCTCCAATAACTCTTAACGATATCCTCCTGGCCATCATTGAACGGAACGCCCAATAAAGTCTTCAGGTTGATATAAATGTCGTCTGGGTACCGAGCCGCGAGGGCGAGCGCATCACCGCCATAGAACCGTTCGGGGAAAGGCGCATCACTCTCTCTTGTAGGCTTAAAAGCGATAGCAGCCGATTCCTTGCGCTTCGAGTCTTTGGTGAGGACGATCTCGAGCGGAATGCCGGGTTTCACGAGGGCAGCCTTGAAATATTCCGTGCCGATGTCGATACCCAGGACGGCCGATCCGGCGGCAGAAGCTGGCCCAGCAAAGCCGAGGAGGAATATAAGAAAGGGAAGGACCACAAAGGATAGCATTGGCGAGCTGGACAATTGTCGGCGATTTAAGAACGTCATGGTCTATGTGTAGGCTCCGGGCTGCGGGAGTCAGTCAAACTACCGCTTTCAGACGCTGTCAAGAGTTCGAACAGGAAGAGATTACCCTCGGGCGCACATATGTAGAAGAATTGACAGGTATTCAATCACTTTAGCGGTTTGCCGAATAGTATGTCGGGTGGCTTTGCGCCAGATGGACAAGCTCGAGATTGATGCTCGTATGGGAAATGGGTAGTGTAGGAGGATGAACAGAAAAGGAGAATCAAAATTATGACTCAAAAACTAGGCCATTTGAAAGCAAATGGATACTGTGGCCACCTGGCAGTAACTTGAAGCCAGAAACCTTGAGCTGTTGGATGAGGACACGGGTCATCATGCAAACACTCCACAATGTTTTATGTTTGCATTGCTTATCGTTATCGCGTTTGTCACAGCCCTAATTTCAAAAACAGGGCTGAATTCTGGGTAAGTATAGCCAACAACTTTTAATGTCCTAATCATGATGGGAAACGTGAAATCTGAATGAAAACAGATATAAATTCGTAAAAATATTTATATATGACTATAATTATGGTTCCATAATCATGGATAAGGAGTGTCGAGTCATTAAGAAAACCATTAATAACTGTCATCCTGGCGTCCTAGACACTGGATGTGCCGAATGCAATTTTTTTTTCTTTTTGCAGAATTTTTTTTTCATAAGTTAGAACCACAGTATGGCCTCTCAGAAGTCACTACCCAGTGCGATATATCATCTCTCTCCCGGCAGATCAATTTCCAAGAATAATTAGAGCAGGGCAAATAGAAGAGCCAAGCCAGGAATGAAGACCGTAGCTGCTGACCTCTGGAGAGATGGAGCGCTGTTGAAACCAGGCGAGGAGGCAGCAGGGGGAGCTTCGGTGGAGGAAGTGATAGGGCTCGACTGTGCCGGGGCAGTAGGCTCAGTAGCTGGAACACTGGGCTCAGTAGCCGAAGGAGGCACCACAACAGCAGTTGTGGAAACAACAGGGGGGGTGGTATGCTCTTCCGGAGGGGCTGAGGACTCAGTGGCTGGAACACTGGGGTGTGGAAGCACCTCGACAGAAGTTGTCTCAATAGCAGGGGGGATTGTAGTCTTGGTGGGAGGGGTTGAGGGCTCAGTAGCTGGAACACTGGGGTGTGGAAGCACCTCGACAGATGTTGTTTCAATAGGGAGAATCGTGAACTTGGTGGGAGAGACTGTGGGCTGGGTGCATCTCTCAGTGCAGGAGGAAACAGACGTCACGGTGATCGTGCTAGTCTGAGTCACGGGGTGAGTGTAGGTTGTGGAGCCGCTTGTGATGGTGCTCCAGGTCACTATTTTTCTTAGCAATTGTAATTAATGAGGCAGTCAGTGTTTTATTTACCTGGACAGGTGGTAGTGGTGTAAGTGGTAGTTATCACGACAACCGGAGGAGGACCAGTGGGGGTCTCAGTCTCACAAGGAGTGGTAGAAGCGGGAGGAGGCGTGATAGGAGTCTCGGTTTTGCTAGGCGTAGTAGTAGCAGGAGGAGGCACCGTAGGAGTGTCAGTCTCGCAAGGAGTCGAGCTGGCGGGAGGAGGGGGAGAAGCAGTGGGAGTGTCAGTCTCGCAAGGAGTCGAACTGGCAGGAGGAGGAGAAGCAGTGGGAGTGTCAGTCTCGCAAGGAGTCGAGCTGGCGGGAGGAGGGGGAGAAGCAGTGGGAGTGTCAGTCTCGCAAGGAGTCGAGGACGGTGGCACAACTGGGGTAGTAGTAGGCGTTACAATTGGGGGAATTGTAGGCGTGTCGGTCTCGCATGGAGTGGAGGTCTCGACGGGCGGAGGAGTCTCAGTTTCACATGGGGTTGAGGTAGGTGCTACAACCGGGGGAGTAGTAGATGTCACAACTGGGGGAATTGTAGGCGTGTCGGTCTCGCATGGAGTGGAGGTCTCGACAGGCGGAGGAGTCTCGGTTTCGCACGGAGTGGTCTCTGCTGGGGGGCCACCACCGCCGTGACCACCATCGCCATGACCACCGTCGCCGTGACCACCACCATCGCCGTGACCACCATCGCCGTGACCACCATCGCCGTGACCACCATCGCCATGACCACCGTCGCCGTGATCTCCATGGTCACCGTGGTCACCGCCCCACCAAGGACCGCCGTCGTGATCTTCACCACCACCGCGGACAGCAATGTGAGCCTCACCAGCAAGTCTGGGAGTAATGACCATGCCGGAGGCCAAGGTAGCGGCATAGAGCAGAACGATTGGAGCGCCCCGCATCTTGACTAGCGAAAGAGTGCCAGTTACTAGATTATATTTGTTTTGCAAATAGGGCTGATATGTTCCTTGAAACGAAGGACGATAGGAACCGTAGCGAGAGAGTTCCTAAACGGGCAATATAAACAATTGAAATATGAATTTCAACCACCGAGGCTGGGAGCGGACGGGGGATAGAGCATGTTTATATATGTCGCTGGGGTGAGGTCTCCTCAAGGGTCCCAATTCCCGTCTGGCTCATTCGATAGCTCGTGTGGCCATTTGGCTAGTGTGGACCAACACGCTACCATATTGGGCATACAAAAGAGACGTAAACCAAGAAAAAAAAAAAGGTGGCGATCAGATTCTAACACCAACCAGAAGACAACATGAGCCAGTATTCAGTCGACCCGCATATTTCGAACGAAGAGGCTGGGCATGGTATATTGGACCCCGGATGCATAGGCGATAGGTAGCGTATGCACACGGGCCCGGTTGACTAGACGACCAGGTACCAGGGTTGAGCCAATGACAGTTTAACGATGTCTCAGATATTGACGTGTGGTTTGCCAACCTCCAAAACCTGAATTGAAATATGCCAAACTCAATGAGTCCAGAGCCCGATGCATGGGCGGATCAGCCAATTTTGATGATGCAGGTCGCTTCTTGGCAAGAAGCCCTGAGATTTTCCGTCACATGCGGAGTACGTACCCATTCGGTTAGGCTTCCATTGTAGTATTTTTTTCTTTTCTGTTTTTGATCGTTCAAGAAAATATGAAAATATCTCCGTCATGAGAGCTATGAATAACTCCCGTCTTAAGCTCCCATGTGCGAGAAGTGGAGAAACCTCACGAATGGCCGAGATTGGAAGATTGGAAGATTGTCACAGTAAAAGAAAGTGACGCAATGATTCTAGTAAGTCAAAACATTAGATAGTAGCCTAGAAAGTGGTATCGATAATACGGAGTACGTAGTCTGGACTTGTAGGATTTGCTCAGGGCACAAAATGGCTGATCAGTTGTAGATCTGTGATAAGTGGACAGAATACTATGTTAGGCGGAGTACAGCAGTCACGTAGATACGGTGACGTTACTCCCCTTTCCCCTTAGGTTCCCGAGGTCTTGGAATAGTACGGAGTACGGAGTATCCGATACCTGGATGCAACTGTGTTATCGTTCTTTTCCTTTTTACCCTTCCTCTGACGTATATAGCATGGATGTTTCGTATAATGTACATTGCGGGACTTTCTATTCCACAGTCTCTGTGCTATAAGGACATATATCCATATATTCAAGGCTCATTCGAATTTTCAATCGGACTAATCACGGTAATCTTCATGACAAGAATAATGGGTAAACAAGTTAGACGTTGCCCCTGTTTCGACACAACATACACCACATCGTGGGGGTACATGTACAGAGTAGTACTTATTGCGTGGATCAGAAATCTTCGAAATTATTGCACTCAACTGGGAAAAGGCGGGGTTACCAAGTCTACAAATTCAGGATGTCTTACAAACTCGCTCGAAAAAAAAAAAGTCACCTCTCAAATTGTGGGGAGAAAATAAAGTGCATACATGCAACATTCCGAGGTGGCGTATCAGAGTGGACACTACTCCGTATTCCGTGCGGGCATTTGGATAAATTAGAGCATCAAGCCACATCCTTCTAGCGCTGTTTCTTCTGAGGAACATTTACATATTGGCCCTGCGTACGGAGTAAAGGAAGATAATTATCAGAAACCGGCCACATACCCTGTCATTTTTTGATTGCGATGATCTCAACATACTAAACTCTTATCTGGTGCCTAGTCATCCTCGTCGTCCGACCCACTACTCCAGCCCGTCTCATAGTACTCTCGAATCTCGCCGAGTCCGTTCACCAAGCTCTCTCGCTCATCAACTGAGACCAGACGTGCGGCAGTTGCCGAGAGAGCCTTGATCCTCTGAGCTGTCCGGGTCGAGGCGGTCAATGCGGTGAACACATTTAATCCACCTGTCTCCGGGGTGGGGAACATGTCGTGTGGGAAACTATCAAGAATTGGCATGCTGAGTGGCGTGTGGAAACTATATTAGTGTAGAATGTGAGCGTTCTGGCTGAGACAGTCAAAGTAAATACGCAAAATGGGAAACCTACCTTTGGAACATCGACTCTGAGTTGTATCGTCTGAGCTTGCGAAGGTGCCCGATGTCATTGTTCTCTGTGCACTCGCTTTCCCTTTCCGGTTCGTCTCCGCGGGTTACTTGGACTTGGTTGAAGATTTGAGAGCCCTTTTTGTACTCGCCGTCATAGGCAAAGTCAATATCAAATTCAATCTCGGCTTTGGTGGGCCCATCTTCATTAGAGGCTTTAGTTTGACCGTCATTGATTTTGATTTTGTTGATGGAAGATTGCAATTCGAAGATGGTGTGCGTCCCATCTTCTCCGGCAAGAGAGGCCTCGAAATGTTGATATGGACGCAATCGAGAAGGCAGTGTGACGGATTCAATAGCTGATGCTACCAGTGCAGTTTTCTGCCATTCTGATTGGCGATCAACGTTGAGGTAGCTGGGAAGCTTATGTGGAACGTCGATAACGGGAGAATAGAGCGATGCCAGTGGGGAGATCGAGTAAAGTGATCTGGCCTTGTTCGTATCCTTCTTGAACTGGTGATGCTATAAAGTTCGAAACTTAGCCAACCGAGGTCGCGATGGTTCAAAATGATTTGTGTCACTTACCCGCTGTGTTTTCGTGCCGTCCTCAATAGCCCAGACCCAAATACTTTTCTTTCCGAACTCATCTCTCAGTCTTTCCATATACCGGGCCGTGAATCCGCCCCAGGCATCATCTGAGCCGGAGAACAATTGCAGCGCCCTCAACTGATCACATTCTTCTAGGAGAGGTCTCACGTCACGATCCAGTAGGTCATGTTCCTTATCAAGATTTTTGAATAACTCTTCCCCGACATTCCAATCCTCAAAGGGCATGGTCTGGGAGTTGAGTTCGTATTCATTTAGCTGGACAATGGACCTGGGATGGTAGTACACCCTGTTATAGTCTGACCAGTAGCGTACGGACTCTGAGCTCAGGCGAGGAGCTGGAGTACCCAGATCCAAGCTTTTCTGATATTCACTTTGTTGAATCGGCGCTTGCTTTTGGACTATCTCTGGCCCATCCCTATCAGAGTTAGATTGAAAAGCTTGTCCATCAATTTGAATCACATACCATAAGCCTTGACCTGCTATGGAGTCTTCACTCAGCTCGTAAAGGGCATTGTATCTGCGCAATGTTCCAAATCCGCCCTTCAGATCATAGATTAATGTGCGTGGAGTATAGGTCTCGGAGCCATCTGCTCCAATACCTGGTCGAAAGTGGACATCGTGATCTACATCAGACTGTTCTCCATCATATGTAAAATATGATTCCTAATTATATATCAGATCAGACTGAATTTTAAATATGACCATAAAGGACAGTACCTGCAAATTCCAGAAATGTGTTGCTAGATAATTAGCTCGCTGGCCAAGCTGAAGTGTGACAATTTCATGCATATTGATGAATGATAATGACACTTGCCGTGCAGCCCCTCAGTAAATTCTGATATCGACAATATGCCTCAAAGACGCACAGACATAACCAAAAAGGGACGCTAGGCCTGATGTGGGGGAGCACCGCACGTGAGTGTCTAACCACATGGGGGAAGGTGCAGAGAGTCACCAGGGCAACAGTCACATGATCCTTCCAAAGAGGGCAATAAACATCCATGTTTCGGTGGGTGCGTCACCACCCTAACTCCACAACGGTGATTTTCCCTCGTGAATCTCATTTCTTGTCCCTGTGATGATTTCTTGACCTTGTGATCTTTATCGGCTGGATCCATTACTTGTCACGACACAACTGCGATGGCGTCTCCAACGCGTCCCATCCTGAGCCCCTCAAAAGCGCTGCATCCGGTTTCACCGGAACGCATGAATCAACAAACCATACCCGGCTCTCCCTCACTACCTTCCGATCTCCTCACATTACATCACAAGAGCACCCGAGGTGTCTCGGAAGTGCAAGCCAAAGTGGCATTTTTAAATAACCTATCTCGAGGAGGCAGCCCTGCCAACTCTGCAGCAAGCAATGCCGCTCTGCAACGAGCTATCATGGGCCGTGAGGAAGCCGAATCCGCCTTAGCTACCGCGCAAGAAGATTTGTCTGAAGCGCAGACACGAGAACGCCGGATCAGCGAACGCCTCGAATCATTGCTGGAAGAGCTTCACGGGACGAAAGAACGCCAGGCCCACGAACGATCAATTTTCGAGAAGGAAATTCGAAAAGCCCGCAAGGAAGCTTTTCGCGCTGGGTCGACTCTGGTCAAAATTCAAGAAGAATTGAAGCATGCAAAATCAGAGGTCAGAACGTTGAGAGACGAAGTGGTTGCAGAACGCGAGTCGAAGGACAAGGCCAAACAGGAGGCATTTGAACGCGCCTATGCCCTCGCTGGTCTTACAGAAGAACTTGAAGTCTTGAAAGAGAAACTTCGTGCCCTTGAAAACGACAATCACTCAAGCACCCTCGAAGTCCGCGCCCATGAGATTCGGAAAGAAGACTTCGGAAGACTGTCAATAGCAGAAGGTGACCTCGCGTTTTTGACTACCCCACGCAGACCGAAACGAGCCGCTGCGGGATCTGCTCGATCCCCAGCCCCAGCACGCGAAGAAGACCACGCAGTGGCTACTCCTCCTAAACGCCCACGTTTGTCGGATTGTGCGCCAAACATGGAGAGTGAACAACCCGCACTCGAGACGGCCGCTGAATTGGAAGAGGACTTGTTGGAAGGGATCAAGGAAGAGCTTGACTTTGAGCGTCGCCGCAGAGTCGCAGCCGAAGAGATGGTGCATTTCTTGAACATTGAATGCCAGTTTGAACGCTGCTCATGCAGGCTTGCTGAGAGCCAAGGTCGTCGCTACATCTACGATGCTGAATACTATAACAAATTCCAAAAGCCTCAGATTGAGGCGGAAGAGAAAGCTCGTGCTCAAGAAGCTATCATTCAGCAAGCTAGTGTGCAAAAAGTCGACCCTCACCCAACTAGCACCCCTGAAACCAGCCCTCCCCCTCCGCCACCCGTCCACCGATCTCCTGTTCACCAGGCCTCGACTCCCCAGTTGAGGCATCCTCCACACAGCATCCATCAGGAAGAGCCAGAGCCAAGTCGCACTCCTCTGGCTGCACCACCTGTTCCTGTACACCAGCACCCCGCGCCTACAATGAAGGCTGAACCCAGAGACCCTCCCAAGATGCAGATGCCAGCCGAACCTCTGGTTACATTCTCCCCGGAGACCGGCACATTCACGACATTCCCATCTCCACTCCGAGATAACGTCAGACCTCCGCGATTGAATTTCTTCGACACACCGGATCTCGCCGAGCCTCAACCAGATATTCCGGCTGGTCATCTTGAAGCCTCTGCATCACCAGACCTACATGTCGACTCATTCACCCCCTCTGGGGAACCGGCTTCGACCAGATTGTCCCGTCCAATCCCATCTGATGGTGCTGTCGAACACTGGCGTGCACCACTGTCTGTAGAAGCCAGACCATCGAGGCCTGTCGAGAGAGAACCCCGTGTACCCCGCCAGCCCATCAACCCTACAAACAGAGTTCCATCGCGACAAGAGTCACAGTCGCAACGCACTTCGCACCCTGGCGTCCCCCATACACTCATCGACCGCGAACAAGCACTCGCACAGATCAGGGCGCGACAGGGTCGTACCCACAGCAAGCAGCGCTCAGTCAGCGCCAGCGAGCCTGGCCGCGCAGCTCGTACCTCAGCGGGATCTAATCCAACCTCTGCTCGGGGACCTCGACGCCTGCCCAATCCAAATATTCGGGCCAATTCGAGGACTGAGAACGAAGTCGGTGAACGCCGAGATATGAGTGCTCCTGTTCGGATGTTCCGACGTTAATGAATGCCCTGGGATCTACATGTCCCGTGACGCATATTTATGTTTCTCTTTTGCATGGTCTGCAGGTGCTTGTCGTTTCCTCTAATACCCCCTCGGCGCTGCATCAATTTGTCTTCATTTCATCTGCATCGTGATTGGAAGCAATGTCTTTTGTTTTGTATTTGGATCTAGTTCCAATGTTATGAGTCTCAGTATACTATGGATTAATTCCCCAACTGCCTGTCCTTTCTCTGATACAACCTCGGCTTCAGCGTCTATCCCTCTCCCACCTTTCCTATGTCTTGCTTTTCTTCTTCTGTACATAGAATCCGCCTGCTAAGAGTGAATTCCACATAATTTTACGATGCTGAGAGTTCCTTATCCATCAAGTTCAAGTCATGGATGCCAGAACCAGATCCAATTGGACCATTGAAGATATGTATATTGACCTACAATGTATGATATATGCCTAACAAAAAACATGAGATCTCAGGTCTAACATAGAGAACCAGCCTCTACAGAACCGAGATCCCACAACATCTAATCCTAGCACTATCAACCTTCGCACGACGATCCCACCACAAAGAAACCAACTCCTCAACAAAAACACGGTCCGTTGCACTCCACACATCAAGCCCCATCTCCGCCATATCCGCAACCGTAATCGTGACAGTGTCTTTCGCACTACCGTCGCGGTGACCAGCTCTTGACCCACGACTCGGAGACCCGCTCACGCTCGACCGCTGCCGGAGTAAGGGGGAACTCCCCTCATCACCATGGATAGACTGGCGAGACATGGAGAGCGAAGCATCGACGTCATCATCTTCATCGATGTACGGCTCATCGTTATAGAGATCGTCTAGGTCGCTATCATAGCGCGCGATGGCGCCAGCCAACGTGACGAAGATCTGTGACGTCAAGCGGCGGAAGTATGCGACTAGCGCGACTTCGCGCGGTTGCTGGTCTTCGCGGGGTGAGTTGCGGGGAGGGGCGGCGTTGGGGCTGGAGTTGTAGGGGGGTGGGCGAGACTCTCGACACTTGCCAGAAGGCGGGAGTCTTGTTCCATCTGCTGTTCTTCTTCTTCCTCTGAGAGGCCGTCGCGGTTCTCGCCAGCAGAGGCCCACCAGATGAAGGAGGTGTAGGCGAGGCGGGTCCAGGAGATGGGCTCGACAATGGGGCTGGAGGAATAGGTTGAGTCTGTATCTGAGCGGTCTTCATCTGGGGATGTGGGGCGGTCGTCGGGGAATTGGCGGAGTCCGCGGCGGAGCATAGCATACCGACGGGCGTCGCGCTGGGTGGCTTTTAGCTGGATTTCTTGGGCTTGGTTGGGTTTTCCTCCTGTTTTATGGACGATGGAAATTTTGGGGAAAGCCCGCTCAGCGGTTTGTTGTGAGTACGGTGCGGGCAGGGTGATGAGGACGTCGAAGAGGTCGGGTTTCATGGTTAAGACTGTGTCAGTGGAGCAGGCGATCCAGCTTGGGTCTGTATCGAGGTCTATTATGCTGCGCGATGGATCGAAAGAGGAGAGGTATGGGATGTCATGGATGCCAACGTTGAAGAGGGGACGAGGGCGTAGTGGTGGTATGCGATCGTTGGGGAGGAGCTGGAGGAGGGAGTTTGGCAACGAGGCCAAGAGAGAAAGATCATATACTGGATTTGTTAGCAGTGTATCAATTGAAGTGCGTCTAGGAGCGTACCATAGTTGCAAGATGTGTGTACAGGAACCTCGCCCATGAAGAGAATGCGCTTGCGCAGCAAAGCGGCTCTGTAGAGGGGGAAAATCAAAGGCCCGAAGCACTCCGTGAATTCTGGAAGCGATGAAGCAGGGTGGAAGGGCGTCAGGGCCGGCCTGAATGTTTCTAGTACCATTGCATCGCTGAAGGCCCGGTTGCGACTCGACTGATCTGGTCGCTCGCTGGGTCGAAATCGAAGACTAAGAGGCGAGTCGAGAGGAGACTCGGGAGCCGAAGAACCACACCCTCCTATCCTATATGTGTCCCAATAATCGCACAGATTCTGCATATCTGACATGTTCTCGGCGTATTTCCTATCGAGCACTGGCGTAAGTCGAGATCATGTCCATCACGGGAGCATATAGGTACGAACAGCGTGAGCTCCTTGAGCCTTGGAGCGTGTCGCCAGCTCTTTCCAAGTCTTCCGGTGCTAAGGGGCACCAAAACTCCGATTGCAAACATTTTTGCATTGCGTTCAGCCGCCGTGGCGGGAAGGTTGAGGAACGCGCTGATGCCGGCATACTGTTCATGAACGAAATACCTAGAGGGGTACATCAGCAACGGTCAAATGCAGCTGTTGGAGACCTTTAAAAACATACACCAGGTCCTCAGTCACATTGTGCAGCCCAGAAGGCAGTGATTTGTATTCCACAACCCCTTCAACCTCAACTATTCGGCCGGGTGTCAGTATTGCGGGTTGGGGCGAGTATAGCCTCGGCTAGATAACAGATTGCTCACCTCCCGGCGCAGTTCGCTTCCACGAGACCACATATCTACCGTCGCAGAATGTCAGCGATAAGTTTCTGAGCTTGAGAGCTGCGATGCTCAGGGGAAGGAGTAGGACTTACCCGGCTCTGATGTCGAAGCTGATGACGAACAAGGCGGCAATGGCTGGTGGCGACTCCATAGAGGAACGTGAGACGTCAATGCGCAACGGCCTAGGAGATTCAGATACCATTATGAAGGAGGATCATGGGGTGCGACAACATTCAAGCAGTGTCGGGGAATCACGGTAAGTTGAGGGGTGAGCCTTGTCAAGGGCCCTTGGCTATGCGGAGTTGTTGCCTGAGGCACCACGTCGGGATCTATACTGGTAACTTCGGAGAAACCAACCAGGAACGACGATATGGCATCTTCAGTGACCCAGTTCATCTTCTAGTTCTTTAAGCGGTCAAATTTGATTGCTGGGGTTTTCTAGTGCTTAATCTGCAAAAAGCAATAGCAGTCCATCATGTCAAAAGATAAGCTTGCCTCAAGCGAAAGATGCGTTTCTTCTATATTCTCCAAACCGTGAGGGACAAGAGTATACGGCCCCTTATGCGGTCTTCTGATATCTTTTCAGGGGTATTTTCAGTAGGCTTCGCAGACTTACTTCTAAGATATTTTCTGAGATTGTTTCCCCCTTTTCCAGTCTTATAGGTATGAGAATACGGGTTTTACGAGAAGCAGTATATGCCCTGGAAAACTGTATTGATGCGTGAAGAAGGCAGAAAGCTATCTACGTATGAAGACAATGATATGCTGGGAGGTCACATGATCTCTGACAAGGTAGACGGCGAAAAAGGCGGAAAAGGCATACTTTGTGCAAAAGGCTCTTCTATGGAAATGTTTATTATACCAAGGATTTCGCTAAGTGCGTAGCACGATAATGTATCTACCATACAGATGGGTTTCAGATTCCCCGCGATCACTCATTCTCTTCACGAAGTTCCGCCAGTCTCTCCTGGTCAAAGATAGTAGTCGGACCCGTGAGTTCGTTCTTCAAGGTTGAAATAGAAGGCACGAAAAAGTAATCGCCACCTCTTTGAATAACCCAGCTTTCCAGCGGCATGCGAGCCTCGGTGGGGAATTTGCCATCAGGAAGACCGATAGAGCGAGGTGGGTGGTGGTCCAGTCTTTGGCCTACAATTGCATCAATACCCGGACCTTCACCACCAACAAAGTTGGTCTTGCGATCGGGGAAGTGGTGGTTGCTTGCCCAGCCTATAGGAGTGAAATGTTAGATGGTGCTTTGTGCAGGATATTAAGTTTTGAGTGCTCACGGGTAGTCAAGAAGTTGAATCCATTTCGGATGTCACTCTGGTAGCAGACGAATAGAAGCCCACGCTCCTTATCTTCAGCCGACTTTCGTTCGGCCATCTCTTCTGCCGAGACCTCATCGCCGTAAGGGATGCCACGTCTTACAATCACAGCATGGTCATGCTCTAAGTCAGCCCGTGGTCTCATTTTGCGGGTGTGTGCTGCAAAGGGGCACTTCAAGTGCTCTGTGACGGGGTGGTAATCGAAATTGTTTGATGAGAAGAGGCTTTCGTCAGAGTCATCATGGGGAGACTCATCCACAGGGGTTCCTAGATGTTGTTCTAATCAGCATATTTTCCCACAATTCTTTTTAACACTCTGAGATCGCAACGAACCATTCTTCCATCTTCCCATCAAGTATGCAGCAAGCTTTTCGGCTGGCTTGGGGTGGTCCTGAGTAAAAGGGGCATGGCGGGCATTCTCCTCCATGAACCTAAAGACTTCGTCAATACCAAATAGGAAATGGTGAAATTTTCGGAGGTCACTGACTCGTCGAACTCAGGAACAAGTTGCTGAAGATCACGGAAAACGAGGAAACTGCCATCTTTCGCCCATGATGGTTGGCCCATAGGGTCGCCCTCATACCCGCAAACAATCAATCTGCATTTAATCAGTCTGAGTCCTTCATTGAAAAAACTGTGAGCATAATTACCCTGGCTTGGTGGCTTTGGGCTCCTTGTCCTTAGGTTGTTTATCATCCCAGCCCTCAATGATAGGTTGACTGATTCCATCCTTGAATCCAAAGCTGAATATGACGGTAAGTTTGACTCGTGAAGATTCCCAGGCGTTTGGTAGGTACTTACTGCTCTTTTCCTTTCATAGCACCAGGACGAACCTTTCCTTCTCTGACAAGGGTCAACTCTATAGAAGGGTTGTTGCTTAGGACGTAGGTGTCGGGGTTAAGAGGTTCTCCTTCCTCCGCTAGGAAATGTTGCTTCACCTCGCTGACCTTGGAATCCAAGCCGGACTTCAAACTGGAGGTTACCATAATTACACCATCAATGAGTCTCTCATTATTACTGGTGGGCTGGTACTCTTTGCGAAGCTCCTGGGGATTGTCCCAACCTTCGCCCACAAGATCCGCATACATGCCCTTCTCGAACAGTCCACCACGAAGCTGTTTCTTCCGGAAGTCTGTAGACAGCTGTCTATCCTTCTTAACAAGGGTCTGGTCATTGACATTTATAAATGCCCCAAGCTATGAGAAGTCCTCTATCAGTATTTGTTCAACGCCAGCGCAAACAGTTCACTTACTGCTTCAAGGCCGGTGGAGGTAAATGCAATGTTGACTCCCGGCAAAGCCTGAAGCTTAGCCGATCTCTTCGCCAGTTGGGCATCTTTCTTTGCCTGCTTAATGATCTCACTCATTTCACAGGCCTCTTGGCCCGTGGTAATCTTGGGAATAAATGTCTTCAGTCGGTTCTTGAAATCAACTTGGTTTCTAACGCGGAAGAACAGGAAGGTTTGAAATCTTTTGGGGAGACCAGGCCTGATTGAGGTAAGTAATTTTGAAAGACGATGCGGATGTGTGAACAATTGCCAGCATGGGAAACTTACCAAACATCTCCCTGGATATTTGCCTTGATAGCTGAAGTCAGACTCATGATGGAAAGTTGAACTCGCTAAGAGTGAACGATCCGATGTCACTGAGGGCTATAGTCCACTCACAGAGGGAATGGGATAATTATATGTAAAAGAGGGGATGGCACGTTGCCTTGCAAACCAGCAACAATTCCATTTTCTAGCAAAGAAAAAAAGAAGGAAGGAGGCGGGTCAGCGCAGGTCTGTGATTGCACCGCACAGCGCAATGAGCTACTGGATCAGCTCGCCCATTACGGAGTAGATATGGGTCATGTTCGACACCGACACTAGCACCGAGTAAGATCCAATACACAGCCATCATCGATCGAAGCCACATGCAGCTGTATGGACATCTCTACTCCGTGGAGTGGGAGGGAAGGACATACTCGGTGTTGCGCTTTGACGACGATTGACCTGATTTTGCGAACTCACTGCCCCACAGGCCATGAATGGAAGAGGTTCATAATTGAGAGATGATCATAGGGTGGCGTTTGCTCCAAAGCCAACGATCAACAGAGTTCACCTGGCAGCCACATTTGACGGGTGGGTCTCTTTTAAGCAAATAAGATAAACCATTTTAGAATATCATGGACGTAGTTTCGCGGTTCCTGCGGGCTAGGAGAACACACTGATTGCATGAGTGGGGATCGCGGATTATCCATATCTGGCAATGTAAGACGTACATCGACGTACATCGATGTGCATCGTACATATATATCCGGGCTTCGGCGGCTATCTACAACATACCGTCAATACAATGTAGTTTTCCTATGAAGAATAGAGCCCATGGAGCAAGTCATCAGTCATAGTTGCTTGATGTATGTTTCGTAGGAATATAGAATTGTATGTCTGCTGTATGAAAGTAGGGCGCACTCACTAGCTTGGAATTATCCCAAGGTTACGGAGTAGAAGAAATCAATGAGCGGATATCGGGTGTGGGCCAGAGGGATCTTTCAGCTCTCCACTTTCCACTTTCCACTTGACAAATTATGGGTCCATGTTATACTCCACACGTATCTAGCTCATTTTCTACCTATGTCACATCCGCAAGAAGTCAGTGTATAGGGCAAGAATGCCGATGAAGGCTTAGCTGAAATCCTTCCACCTACGAGTCCAAGTGAAGATTGAGCCATTGAATCCATGGGTGTCTCAGCGGAAGCGGGCCGGGCTCCACCCAAATGCCGCTAGCACGAACTATCTACCCGAGAGGGCATGTTCCCAGTATTGTGGTTCTTCACTGATCGACATGCAGTTAATATACCCCCAAATCGGCGCTGTTCAATTGGTCATCTGTCGATTGCCGACAAGTTTTGAGCCTTCCAATCCTGGCACCCCCACATGTAATATGCAGACTAGCATTAACCTCACACAGCTGAACTCATTGACGTCCGAGTGGGCTTGCAACCCGTGTTCTCTGCAGAAGAGGTCGATCTTTGACCTCTGGCCGAATATCGCCGATCGTGTCGAGTTTTTGGGAAATTGTCTTCACCGATCTGAAAGGAGTGTCCAGTCACATACTAGTACGCAGGGTGGATCGAGACAATCACTGACGTCTATCTCTCATGTTCATCTTCGGCAAGTTTGGCAGCGCCTTTGACTGGATGAAAGTATCCCCACATGCCCATGAAGAGATCGGGCTTGTCATAGTTTGCGTAATATTGGCATAGGTGATTGCCGGCTACTCCGTGGTCGATGCTGAAGATCCCTTGGATCCTAAATGAGCATAGCGCTCTGCCCCAGGCAAAGTATGCCGAGTGTTGCCCTTATATGTTCCTTTGTTCACGTCAAGAGTTTGTTTGCACAAAGGTGAAGAGAGCTTGTTTTTCCCTTTCTCCTTGACTTTATCTTCGCCCTCCCAATAAATTTTGCCCAATATGAAGCTTCAATGGGCCGGGCTCCTCTTAGGGGCTTCCGTTGGGGTCAATGGTATGGGTAAATACATGCACGAGGCTATGAGAGGAGAGCGTGTCTCTGGCTATGGCAAATCTGACAACCCCTCCACCCTCCCGCAGTTCAAAGATGAATCTCCTCCATACCAAGGCCACCGAATTCCCCGTCAGGACTGGACCGTGACCTGCAGCAGCTCCGCTCGCAAATTCCCATGCAAATATGCGATTGATGGCAAGAACACTACTTCCTGGCGCAGCGACCCCTCCGACAAGGGACATACTTTCATTGTTGACCTTGGAGCGTGGTATCAGGTGAGCGCCGTCGTTGTCCTTCCTCCACTGGATACGGGTTTGGAAGGTCTCATTACCCAGCACAAGATCTGGGTTAGCGAGGACCATGAAACATGGACGGGGCCTGTCGCATATGGAATGTGGCCGAATGTAAACAGACAGCGGATGTCTGCGTTTGAGCCATCATCTGCTCGGTACTTGAGAATCACGACCGATGCCGATGAAGAGAATCCCTGGGTTGGTATCTCTGAACTCAACATCTATGGAACTCTGTACACTATTCCTCGTGACCCTGCTCTCGGTGTCTGGGGGCCAACTCTGGATTTCCCTATTGTGCCCGTCTCCGGTGCTCAGGAGGGATCTGGCATGCTTGCTCTTTGGTCTTCATGGGCTGACGATCAATTCCACTCGACCCCGGGAGGCAAGACCGTCATGACCCGCTGGAACCCATTGACCGGTGAAGTCTCTAAACGCACTGTCAGTGAAACCCACCATGACATGTTCTGCCCTGGCATCTCTTATGACGGCACCGGTATGATGGTTGTAACTGGTGGCAATGATGCCTCGGAGACTAGCCTTTACGATTCGGCCAATGATGAGTGGGTCCGCGCAACCGAAATGAAACTCCGTCGTGGATACCAGGCGTCTACAACCCTCTCTGATGGACGGGTTTTCGTCATTGGAGGCTCATGGGCTGGAGCTTCGAACGTGGATAAGGATGCCGAAGTCTATGACCCTGCTACCCGAAACTGGACTATGCTCCCTGAAGCCAAAGTCAGCGCGATGTTGACCGAGGATATGGAAGGCGCGTGGCGAGCGGACAACCATGGTTGGCTCTTTGGATGGAAGGACTTGAGTATCTTCCAGGCCGGGCCTAGTAAGCAGATGAACTGGTACTCTGCGCGTGACAACGGAAGTGTCAAGGCGGCAGGACGTCGTATGAACGATGAAGATTCCATGTCTGGTAACGCAATCATGTTCGATGCCGTGAAGGGTAAAATCCTCACACTCGGAGGCTCCCCTGATTATGATAAATCATGGGCTACTGATGCCGCCCACGTTATCACGATCGGCGAACCAGGCGAGCCGCCGAAGGTTGAGCCGGCCGGAAGAGAAGGCGCCATGCACCATGAGCGTGTGTTCCACACCACGGTCGTTCTCCCCGATGGAAAAGTTGCCATCTTCGGCGGCCAGAAGTTTGGTGTGGCCTTCAACGAGGAAAACGTTCAATTTGTCCCCGAACTTTATGACCCAGAAACCAACTCTTTCCAGAAGTTACAGCAAAACAATGTTGTGAGAGTGTACCATACTGTGTCGATTCTCCTCCCCGATGCTCGCGTGTTGAATGCAGGCGGTGGTCTTTGTGGCAACTGCACGGCCAACCACTATGATGGCCAGATATTCACTCCTCCCTACCTCCTAACCGCTTCAGGTGAGCCCCGGCCCCGACCTGAGATTCTCTCGGGTCTGCAAGATAGAGTCTCGGTGGGTAGTACCCTGAGATTCAAAACTTCTGGGCCCATTTCGACAGCCTCTCTGATCCGTCTGGGCACCGCCACCCACACTGTAAATACTGATCAACGCCGTATTCCACTTGATGTTACTGCTACAACATTCTTTGGTAACAACTGGAAAGTCACACTTCCGGAAGACTCGGGTATCCTCATTCCTGGATACTGGATGCTCTTCGTTATGGATCGGGATGGCGTGCCTAGTATCGCGAAGATCATGATGATCAGCGTGGACAACAAGCAGACCATTCAGGCCACGCAGGACTCGCTAAACCTGCTTGAGGAACAGAACTGTAAGCATAATTCCAGACTTTTTGGTGGCCGTGAACACTCACACTAATTTTCTAGCCATTGGATCTTCGTTTATGAGGATCGAATTGTTGAAGAGAAAGTGGACTTGAAGTAAGATGGCCATTTGAGAGCCCGGAAGTGGATATGAAATTACGTGGGTCTTGTACAATATACTAAGTGCAATTCGAAGCACAGCAATAGAAGGTAGAATGTGACAAGTTACTCAAAAAAGCTGGCCGAGCTTAATATGTGACATTGCTGTACTCCCAAAAATAAAGCAGATGTATCATCACTTTAGTCTGTGGCCGACCTCCCTGGTAAGGATGTTTTGTGGCGTCCTTTGTAGGTCTGATTGGAAGTAAGTCTCTTCGTCTCGTCTTTGATGCATGATCCAATCAATCAAGGTGTAGCGTTCATGATGCTGCATAAGCAACCGTCTCTTCTTGTATATAGTGATTTAAATTGTAACGTTTCTTGGGGGTATTTGTTTTGTTTGGTGCTTGAAGCCCTATTGCGTCCCCATTCCAAGCCAAGTGGGCCTTTACCCCGGGCCTACAGTCCACCGGTAGGCCCAAGGGCCGGACCCTAAACCCAGCCCATAATGAACATACGTATGTAATGGGTCAGGGTAGGTTGGGCTTTGCGGAGATCTACATAAGAGGGACAGAGCAAAGGAAGATTTGTTTCACATATGTATAGATCAAGTACCCATGTACGATGTGCTTTCATTCCATGTATGGCACGAATCAGGTTTTAGACGCCTTGTTCTTAAGGAAGAGGTACCTACCGTCCGCTAGAGCTTGACGACGACACTAAATTGATATTGGCGTTTTACCAAGGTCGGGGCTTCGGAAAGTGGGTCGTGCTCGGCTGGATTTTATATCCACTTAACGTTGGTTGACACAACGGTCGTTTCCAGGGTATGGAGAAGATGATAGTCTGTGCAGGCTCATTCGAGGACAGACAAGGTCAGATAGCCTTGGAGGTAAGGGGCCAATGTCGATCCATAAAATTCAGACTGTGGTTGAACATAAAACCCTACCACAAGACCGGGAGAAAATTCCTTGTTTCGCCCCCTGGTCTGTATATGCCATACCCATATCAATCTTGTCATCTAGCCCATATTCCGCAAAATGGATGTCCCAGAAGCGCCTATTTTTCCCCTCCTTGAAGGCAAGGTTGCTATTATCACAGGCGCTGCCCAGGGCATGGGCAAGGCTACCGCTTCTGTCTTCCTCCGCGCAGGGGCGAAGGTAGTCATTCGCGATGTGAAGGCAGATCAAGGGGCTCAGGTCGCAGAGGCACTTTCCGCTTTAGGAGAAATTCGTTTTGTGGAGACTGACATCGCCAAGTCAGAGGATGTACAGAACCTCATCAAACAGACAGTCCGCGCCTTCGGTAAATTGGACGTTGCAATCAACAATGCGGCCATGTCTCCCGATCAGAAACCCTTGATTGACTTTGACGAATCATATTGGCGCAGATTGATGGATGTCAGTCTGACTGGTACTGCACTGTGCTGTAAATATCAGATGCAACAAATGGAACATCAGGGCTCAAAGGGCTCCATTGTCAACATTGCTTCCATCAACGCATATTCACCACAACCCAATATGCCAGCATACACGGCGGCTAAGCATGCACTTCTGGGTTTGACCAAGCATGCGGCAACCGAGGGTGGTCCTAAGGGTATCCGAGTGAACGCTATTGCACCTGGAGCAATTTTCGTACGTTTTTCCCATTCCCAAGCCAGAGATAGTCTAATAAGAGCAGAGCGAAATGTCAGTCGCTGCATTGGAGATTATGGGTACTACGCATGATGAGTTTGCACCCAAGGTTAGCAGCTTGAACAGGTTTGGACAGGCCCACGAGGTAGCGCAGGGGTCTCTTTGGCTTGCATCCGAGTGTTCGTCATACATAAACGGGATTTGTCTCCCCATTGACGGAGGGTTCTTGGCCAAATGGTAGCTAATTTGGTGTTGAATTGTTTAACTATAGTTCATACCTATATGTATGTAGTATGTACCGGATTTCATCAATCGGGCCGCTCTTTCTTTCCTCACTGAGTACCTCACAGCGCAGAGTCAGCGACCACTTAGTCAAAAATAGGTAATCTCATTCTAATGGGCTTATAAATTACGCATTTCCGCAACATATTAAAAACCTTCTCAAACTCCGATGACTCGATGCCACCACCGAGGAAGTGTTTCGGAGATCGAGTGTCTTTCTTTGTCCAATTTCTTGAGGAAAGGTTTGTTTGCATGATTGATCAACCTAGAGTGAATAAAACTTACTCAATGCCCCAGAATCGATAGATCAAGTCTCAACGCCTCAATTGGCGCTGTCAAAGCAAAATTGGTGTCTTGCGTGACTTCAGGAAATTCCAGCATTTGAGCTTTTCTCGGAATGGAGTAGAAAGTACCTCAAGCTAAAAAGCAAAACGTTGAAGTTATATCAATAATAGGCATATTCAGCCCTCATAAACAGGTGGGCCATGGCGACGTTAGGTATAGGTTAGTTAACGATTGATAATATGTGGGTGCAGTTGAATTTAATCAGTCGGACAGTGGGAACCCTCATAAGTCTACGAGGCTGCTTGTGCTGTTGGATCGAGTAAAAATTAAGAAAACCCGACTCCAACCTTGGAACAGCATTGTTGCTCTAGGAGTTCAAGCAAATTGTGATAATGTCTCCCTAGCTATCAGTTTTGGTTTGGCGGATTGGGAGCTGGAAGTTCTGGAAATGGAGAGTCATCCTCTGGTACTTGACGATAGCTACATAGCTTTTCGCAAATTAGTCGGCCTCTGAGGCCTTCCAATTAGAGACGATGGTCAACTTGTATCTAACCCTTGGAAGTACTCTACATATGCGGGAGTAGTGCTCCACAAAGCCCACAAAGACCAAAGTCCAACCCGCCCCGACGCAATAATGGGCTAGGTTTTGGGCCCAGCCCCCAGTAAGGCCCTAAAAGTGCCAAACAGTGCAAATATTCCGAAAAGCGTTTTTTAATTACTCTATGTCTAGATCCCATTTCTCGCTAATAGGTGTAATGTTTTATTGGTATAATTTATATATTGGAAATGAATAGTGAATTATATTCATCACGTTGAAAAATGCGAGAAAACGCGCTATGGAGAAAAGTTATAAATTATAGATGTTCACTATGTAGATCCAAAAATATATCTAACATTAGAGTAAATAGTGATATTCTTTCGACTTCCACTAGTTAGATCCTATTTCATTTTATTAATACACCTATATAGTGATGGTGACTATACATTCCACACTGAAAGTCTTTATAATAAGTAGAAGGGTCAGAAGACAGTGATTACAAGTTCCTCATTGAAACCCCTAAATGGGCTGTGGGTTGGGTTGGGCTTCGAAGGTTGAGCCCAGAGCCCACTGCTGGTTGGGCTATGGGTTTGGGGTCCGGACCCATTTGTGGGCTTTGCGGAGCGCCATGCGTGAGTAAACAAAATGCCTCAGGACGCAATAGCTGCCAGTGATATGAAAACTCTCAGAATATGCTAAAAAAAATCAAACACCAAATGCAAGAATTTCAAGCTTGTATCACTGGTTCTCTATCTTTGCCCGGTCTGGTCTCTGAATGCCTTCTCAAATTGTGACTTGATGTATAAATTCAATAAAGCTTGAAGTGTTTTTATAAGCTTGTTATTGGCTGAACTCAAATCCACTCCCTTCACAAAAGCCAGGCATTCCGAAGTCTTTTCCATTGACCATTCTATAAAATCTTTAACTTGTTTTTTCGAGACGCTCAGGCATCAACAGTCTAGACCGGGGTTCCATCTCTCACTGCGAGTATGCCTAGCCTTCTATCCCACCCATACTACCCCCTTGATGCCAATGTTGTGGGTTATGAGCCCAACCAGACTCCATTGTTGGAGCTTCTTGTCTTTGCTGGTGGGGCATGCACTATTCTTCTTAGTGTGACTTTTGCGTTGGCCAGCTATGTGAAACCGACATTGCGTATGGCGGATCGAATCGCCATTCTGTGGTTCGTGCTGTGTAAGACAACCGAGAAAACATCCATAGTTTAAGCTTGGATATTGACAACTAGGATACAGCTGGAACTCTGCACTGCTTCTTCGAGGGCTATTTTATGGTCCACCATAACCACATGGCTTCTGCCCAAGATCTTTTTGGGCAACTATGGAAAGAATATGCTCTGGCGGATTCCCGATATATGACCTCGGACACGTTGGTGCTATGTATGGAGACAATGACCGTGGTAAGTCCCACAGCTATATACAAGGTCAACCGGATTCACCGCTGATTCTCCACAAAGCTCTTGTGGGGACCCTTGTGCTTCGTTGTTGCATACTTGACCGCAATCAGGCATTCTCTGCGCCACCCCATTCAGCTGATTGTGTGCATGAGCCATCTGTACGGCGACACGCTGTATTATGCCACCAGTTTGTTTGATGAATATGTCCACGGGCGACCGTATTGCCGACCGGAGTCGTATTATTTCTGGCTGTATTACTTTTTCATGAACTTCATCTGGATTGTTGTTCCGGCCTGTATGTCATGCAATTCCCATACCCGTGATAAGCTGACTTTCTAATAGACTATCTCTGTCGGAGCATCTCCACCATCTCGGCTGCACTCAAACAGGCGGAAAAGTACAAGACTAAGTAACACCTCTTTCGTCATCGATAGTGACGGGTCGAGTAGTGGAGCCTTGGGCTAGAACTGGCACGAAATAGAGAATTTGGTGGATATTTCGCTGAGAAGAGGGTTAGAAGGGGAGACTCGATGCACAAAGTAATAGTTCTACAAGATGGTTGAAAGAAGCTATATCCTATTAATCCATTAATCCTTCAAAAGTGTTATTATTTAATAGATTAAAATCTCACACTAACCGTACCCTATGACGCTGATGCATAGAGGACCACCTGACGCGCAACCCGGCAATATTAACCCAACACTGACCTATATCTTCCCCGAAAGTGATAAGTGAGTTTGTGAAAATTTCAGAATATCATCTTCAATAGAAAGATTGTGATCAAACGGGGAGGATCTCCAAGTTGACTTGTTCGCAACCCAATTTGGTTTCCCAGCAACCAATTTAGTGCGGGAGAGGGGCGCTTATCGAACTTGTCAGCTCCCCGACATCTGCCCAGGTGACGCATTGTTTTTATGATCCTTGAATTTTCTACAGATCCGAAAAAGCAGAGATCCGACAGATGCCCCAAATTTGTTAGGGATCTTTGGGGGTTTGGTAAGTACAAATCATGTTCCAAGTCAACAAACCCCCGTGTTTATTCGGGTACCTGCTTTGACAACAAACCAAGATATCTCTACTAATGCTGGCCTCTGTTTTGTGATATAGGTACCGATGCCATCTCCTGCGACGCCACAACGTCCCTCCAATCGTGGAGGAACTCCAAAATCCACATCAAAACCGCTGGACATCGGAGAACCGCTGGGGGTGCACGACACGAACACAGTGCGCTCGAGAGTGCGAAAATGGCAGCAGCAAGGCGGTGGGGTTGTCACAGTCGACGACCCCTATGCTGATGACGAGGAAAATGACATTAAAATAAAGCCTGCCAAGATCAAGGTAGAGAAGCTGGAGAAGCTGGAGAAACCGATCAAGGAAAACCCCCCGACTACAAGGAAGCGCAGTCACAGCACGCCCCGCAAACGGGTGGTGAGCGACGAGCATTGGAAGCGAACACGAAACCGAGCCTCAACCCAGTCCTCCTCGCGCAACCTGCCCACACCCAGGCGCATCGCCGAATATACCATCAATGAAGGGCAGCCTAGGTCTTCACGGGGGAGACACGATGATACCGAAGATGAGGACGAGAAACATCGCGATCTCCCTCGACTTCATACTAAACGAGGCGCCGGGACGAAGTCGAAATCTCCTGTTCGAGACACCAAGTCTGCGGGTGCACGACAGAATATTGATACCATCACCGAGAGCGACTATGAGACGGACCATCCCAGATCCGTTGAGCCTTCAGAGCTTTCGGACAGATTCAAGACGCGATCGCCTCCTCCAGAGGATGCATGGGCAGCAAGTGAGGCGGATTTCTCTGAGCTGTCGAGGAGACGCAAGCGCGGACCAGCAAAACCTCCCAAGGGTGGTATATTCGCACACATGATCGACGAGTCCAGAAAAATGTTTGGGATACCCGAACCCGAACCACCGAGACCTACGCCTACGCCAACTACGGGCCGTGGGGCCAAAATCGAGGCATGGCTGTCTGACACACCGGATCCTTTTCTGGATGAAGCCGGATCTAAGACGGATATGCCAGCTCCTCTGGATCTGAAGTCAGGCAGAGCAAGGCGATCTCAAAGACTTGCTAACGGAGACGTGCATGCTGGTACCGAGTCTGAACCATCAACAATCAGTGAGCGCCCAAAGAGCTCCGAGTCTCACCCAAAGAGCACAGTGAGTAGGCACTCCAAAGGAAAAGACAGCATTTCTTCGATCGACAAGACACCAAAGGCACAAGATCGCGAGACAACCTCAGAATCGAAGCGATCTAGTATAGATAGAACCTCCAAGTTGTCTGTGAAGAGCAAAGAGGATAGTCATGTTGAAGACAAGCCTTATGAGGATAGCCTCGCACCCTCAGAGTCTGATCTACACCCATTCTCCGACGGCGGCTCTGAAGTATCGGGACATAATGCTCCTGTACCACTTGGTCGCAAGAAGCCATTCCCGACTACTGGTTACCATCGTTTATCAACGATTGCCTCTACGGACACCTTGAGCACCACTGTTACAGATGTAACTGAGCACGCACGGAAGTCTGCCTCTACCGAAAAGCGTAAATCAAAACTTGCCGAGGAAGCAGAAGAAGCAGAAAAGGATGATCAGTTCGATCCAGACTCATTGCCAGTGGTCTCCTCGCAACTGAAAAGGCGGCTCACCACTCACAATGACCTCATGTCTGTGCTATCTGTGTCGACTTCGCGCAGAAGTACCCGGTCGAATCGGAGTATTCGTACCAACAAAAGTCGCCTGGCCCATGCGACAGTTGACGATTTGCTCTATGAGCTTTCAGCTGACGAGACAAAGTATATGCGTGAGCTGAAAACATTGGTCGGGGGTGTTATTCCGGTCCTCTTAACTTGTGTGCTGTCACGCTCCGATTCGGCCATTGCTGCAGGCCTGTTTCGGCCATCTTTGGACCCTCAAGACGACGTGAACTTCTCAAAACCAATCGTTGATATGGGAGTGGCGATTGAGCGCCTCAAGACCCTGCACAAGCGAATCCCGCAGGACAACGCGGATGCATTGCTTACATGGGCGCAGGGTGCGCAGAGAGTCTACCGCGAGTACTTGAAGGCGTGGCGTCTTGGGTTTAAAGATGTCATTGTCAACCTCGCTCCTCTAGAAGAAGGTGAAGCGACGAACAATGATGACACGAAGAGCCTGGATGAAGGCTTGGAGCGAGACGAAAGCGGTGACATCGTAAACAGCGAGGGGGAAAAGGTTGATGTGGCCTATCTGTTGAAGCGGCCATTGGTACGTCTAAAGTACCTGGCAAAGAGTTTCAAGGGCATCAATATGCTGGAGCCGTCCTCGAAGGCCGAAGAAACCGCTGCCGCCTATCAAAGTCTAGTTATCGATGCCCGAAAACGTGTCCGAGATGAAAGAGCGAGGTTGGAAGATGACTCTGCTGCTAGTATCGACCCAACACGCACCAGAGATCCGATGACCTTGGGCGTCCTCCGCGGGATCAGCATTGATCAGACTCGCCATGTTCGTGCCCGCGATTTCTTCAATCTATCATTGTATCACTCGAGTGGACAACTTGTAGATTGTCGAGCTGAGCTTTTATATCGAGATAACGCTTCGAGCAAAGGGCCCGGAGGTGATCTTCTGATTTGCGAAATTGACCACACAGATCGCTGGCTACTTTTCCCTCCCATGGACTTAAGATGTGTTTCAGCTCGCAAGGGAGAGTCGAAGCACGAGATTATAGTGATGCTGCGCAGCGCTCCCGGAGACGAAACCAAATACTGGCAAGAACTGATCTCGCTTCGCATTGACGAAGAAGAAGTTGGGTCTGAGTGGGTCTCATTGCTCGGATCTGACCCTATTCCGCCTTCAATTTGTCGAAGCCAAAGCTTCATCAGCCGAGCCAAGCAGAACAAGGCTCGCAAGCCCTCTGCCGTCGGTTCTCCGCCTAGGCCACACCCAAATGACATCGATATCCCTATCGGTGAGAAGGCGACCGGTAAACGACGCTCATGGACCCCCAAAGTTCACTCGTCTGATATAAGTACTGTCAGCTCTGTTACCGATGCTAGGAGCTCTTTGTCTTCAATCGTCACTCGGGAGACTGATTACACCACTGGAGGATCCGAGCTGTCTGGCAAGCCTGCCCGTGCTGACCTGCCTCTTCTTCCTTCTACGGCTCCCCGGAACTCGCCAACTAGCCCGGAAAAGACTACCACTGGGCTCAAACGATCCAAGGCAGCTAAGAGACTTTCTCGCTATGGTGACAGCCCGGCTTCGGAGATGGCATCTCAGCATCCAATTGTATCGGATCAAGCACTCGAACATAACGGGCCTGCATTTGCCTCCCCTCAAACTCCAAGTACACCAACGGGAAGTAGATTCTATGGCGAAACAGAGGAATCCCCAAGCAGAGCATCGCCCAGAGAAAAGTCGCGCTCAAGAATTCCTCAACCTCAGAAGACACCTGTCAGGGAACCCGAGCCGGATTCTCCTAGGGTTTCATCTGTGCCCTCAGCAATTTTGCCCATAATCCCCAAAATCCGAACTCCCAGTAGCCAAACTCACCTATCTACTCCTACAAGCATCGGTCCTGAAGATGAGGAGGACTACCCTCCACTTGAATGCTTGCCCAAACAAGAGATTCCGGAGACACCAACAAGGACTAGAAGAAAGAAATCCCGAAGGCGGCCGAAGGATGATGATAGCCCTCCCCTCCCCCCCTCATCGGTCACCCAGCCCTGCAAATGGCAAGCGCTCAACTACTCCAGTTCTCACTTCCAGTAGTGGTGGGCTCAAGCGTCGTGGCTCTTCTCCCCTGAAGCACGAATATGAACCCTCTACAGCTTCAGATTACTCGGAAACCGACTCGGACGCGTCAACAGTGCGCCACTATTCCTATTCATCGTCTGATTACTCAAGATCCGGTGGCTATTCTGACTCGGAGGACGATTACTCCTCGGTATCTGAAGACGAAGACTATATTACGCCCAGGCCAAGAGCGCCCGCAGCCGATGCGATTACTGACGCCAGTTCTCTGTCGCCTTCTAATTCTGTGTCTCAGAGTGGCTACCGTGCTGTGCCGTTGCAGCCTACCAAGAGTAACAAGGTCATTGCGTCCGTCTTTGCCTGGTCTGATAAAGGCAACTGGGAGCCTTTGCTTCCCGACGAATGTAGCATCGTCATTAGTCCTGGATTAATCGAGGCCTTCGTCGTGGGCTCTGAACCTGATCCAAACTCCGATTCTCAATCACCAAGGCCGCTCATCTCTCTTGAACTGACACCACTCGTTCCTATCCGCCGTGGCACTGCTATTGATATCAGTATCCGCTCTCCTCCCACCGAGCGATCCAAGATCACCTCCAGTAACAACATCATGTTCCGGTCAGGCAACCCTGATGATTGTGATGCCTTATATGGTCTAATCAACCAATCGAGGATCAATAACCCAACATATATCGCACTCCAAAACGCTCGTGGTCCATTCGACGGTCATGTCTCTACCTTTGAGCCTGCCCCCAAATCCGGCGGAGGCCTGTTTGGCTGGCCCCGACGCAGAAAGAGCTATCGCGCATCAAGCTCCCCACGGTCTTTAGCTGAAGGATCTGAGAGCAGCGTGGGAACCATGAGCAGCGCGTTCTCCGCCCTCAAACGCTTCGGCAATGGCAGCAAAATGTTCAACATTTCCCGCTCAACCATCGAATCCCGCAGCGGCCGCGAAGGCAGCATCTACTCCGGCTCCGGTGATTCCGGCAACAACCCATCTCCCAACTCCGGCATGGGCCGCATCGCTGCAGCAGTCAAAGGCGCCGACGGCATCGGTCTCTCGAACGCGAAGATCCGCCTGTACGCGCGCGAGTCGGCCTCTAAGTGGCGCGACATGGGGGCCGCGCGCATGACCATCATGCCCGCACCTCCCAAGAACCCCTCCCGCCCTGGTACTGGTGTCAGCGGTCGTAGCGATGGCAGCTCCCCTATGGTGACAACGTCGACAACTCCAGCGGTATTTCTCCTCCCACATCAGGCCCGGCTTCCCCCCGCGGCAGCCTCTCGGTCGAGAAGCGTATCATCATCCGCGGCAAGACACGCGGCGAGACTCTCCTCGACGTCTGTCTAGGTGAGAATGCCTTTGAGCGCATTGCCCGCACGGGTATTGCAGTATCGATCCGCGAGGAGAATGAAGATGCCTCTATCGCGCAGAAGGGTGGTGTTGCTACTGGATCTGGGAAGATATTTATGATTCAAATGAAGAGTGAAGCTGAGGCGGCTTATACCTTTGGGCTTGTTGGCAAGCTCAGGTATTGATCAGTAATGTGATGAGTTGATGCTGGGTGTGGGATCGGGTGTACGTGTGAACGAGATATGGACATGGGGGGATGTTATGGTTGACTTTTTCTCTCTTTTCCTCTTCTTTTCTTCTCTTTTCCCATCTTTTTTTTTTTGAAGATCTTCGATCATTATTAGCTCTTTTCTTTTGTACATTTAGACTTGGCCAAATGATATCCTGGCAGTGCAATAATGCAACTGTGCCTATTCTCTCCCCTTATTCTCTTTCTCGTCCTTGTTCCAGTATCTTATTGTTTTTACTTAGCACATTAAGCTCTGCATATCGTGTTCAGGTGTTCTATGTATGTCTTTCTAGTCACATAGTGATATAGTATTGTCCAAATAATGAAGGTGTGTCAGATACATCATTCCAAAGGCCAACCCAGCGGTGCGAGATACAGCATTCTAACTCTTGATTTCCGCCCCATTAGTCTTCTTGAAAACATACCCAATCAAGTTACACTCATCTTTCAGCATAGAAACCAGCACATCGTCATCAATGGCAGCTTCAAGCTCCACATCCTCAGCCCCAGCCCCGACATTAGAATCGGCCTCGGCCGCAAGCAGAGTTGGGTCAATGTGCGCGTACTGAGCCAAAGACTGGTGCATTGTATCTTTTTTGCTCCTAGAATCCCGTTCCTTCTCTTCCGTGCCTTTCTTCCCCTTCCTAGTCATCTTAGCACGATACGAGCCGTTTCGGATGGACTGTTCTTGTCTCTCCATGTCGACCTCAGAAGCTTTGAGAAGAGTGTGAGGTTTCGGCAGCGATTCATCCGAGTCATAATCACCTTCATCATCATCAAAGTCAGAAGGAGGATCCGACAAATCATCAACTTCAGATCCATTCCCACCATCAACAGTAGCAGGCGTCGCGGCACCAGACGAAGAAGTCTCGAGATCAGCCTGAACTCCGCGTCCGCCACACCGACAACCCAACAACTCATGCGTCTGGCAAGCTCTGTCCTCATCGAGCCTGAACAAATCTCTCAGCTCAGCAGCCGAGAACTGGGCACCACCATTACTCTTATCTTGCATGACACTGTCCGCAAGACCAAGTTTGGTAACCTGTCTCTGCCAGATCTTCTCCTCAAGACTGCCTTTGAGCAGAATGCGGTAAATGCGACAAGGACGTTTTTGGCCATCGCGGTGGATGCGCGCCATGGCCTGGATATCCGTTGCCGGGTTCCAGTCTACATCGAAGAGGACAAGACGGCTCGCGCCGATCAGATTGAGACCTGTTCCGCCTGCTTTTGCAGAGAGCAGAAAGGCAAAGCACGAGGATGCTGGGAGACGGTTGAAGTCATCTACTAGGCCTTGCCGTTTCTGGGCCGGTGTGCTGCCGTCAAGGCGGAGATAAGGGAGGCCTAGGGAGGTGAGGAGGGTTGCGAGGAGGGATAGGGTTGAGGTGTAGTTTGAGACGAGCACTATTTTCTCGTCTGTCTTGTTGCGCATTGTGTCAAGGAGTTGGTCAAGGACGCGAATTTTTGCGCTAGAGGATGGAGAAAGGTGACGGTGGAGGGGTTGGGGGATAGAGGCTATGAGAGCGGCCATTGTTTCGTTTGGGGTGTCGTCGTTGTTTTTAGCTGTTAAGAGAGAGGGACTATTGCTGAGCTTTTTGAGGATTGTGATTAACTGCAGGGCGCTTTCTGCGTTGCCCATTGCGGTCTGGAAGATAGGGGAGGCGAGGACAGCTTTGTAGACGTTTGCTTGAGGACGGGTTGGTTTGCAGAAGAGAACGTATTCGGACTTTGGGGGGAGGTATCTGGCCAGGATATCTGCTGTTCGGCGGAGCATAAACTTCGATGTAAGTTCTCGCAGCTCCTCGCTTCTGGACTCTCCTTTTTCAATCTCCTTTCTTGTTGCTTCTGGCTGTCTGCTGCGAACGATTGGGGTCTCGAACTCTCGAATAAAGGACTTGAAACTTCCCAGGAGCCCTGGATTAACAAGATCCACGGCTGCAAAGAACTCTTTCAGATCATTTTGAATTGGCGTGCCGGAGAGAATGACTCTCTTCACGGCGCTGAGCGACTGGATCGCTAGACCACTCTTGTTCTGCAATGTCTTGAGCCTATGGCCCTCGTCCGCGATAATGATATCGACTCCAGAACTATTCGCCAAAGCCTCCTGAACCGTTCTGAGCTTTTCATATCCAACAATCATAACACTGTAAGACCGGCCCTTGGTGAAATCTGTAAGGCGCTTACTCTTATCATCAAAGACAAAAACTCCAATGCGCTCATTGCCGAGCCACTTGCGGAACTCCTTTCGCCAGTTGTTGATAAGAGTGACAGGACAGACAATCAATGCCTTCTTGATAACAGGTGGGGCTTCAAAAACAGGATTCTGCTTTAGCAGAGTCCAAAGCAGGGCAATAGTCTGCAAAGTCTTTCCGAGGCCCATGTCATCCGCGAGAATGGCACCTTCACCATTGAATGACCGCATGCCCATCACACACTCATACAAGAACTTAACACCCTCACGCTGGTGCGGCCGCAAGCTCTTGGTCAAGAGAGGATCAACAACAACATCCACAACTTGCCTTCCCTTCGGCACAGACTTTGGCCGCGGCATAACCAACGCACCAACCGCCTTGGGGTCATGTCGCGGAACAACCTTCCCCGCAGCTTTGGGAGCAACCGTGTCGACAAGCAGCGGCGCCTTGTAAGCGGCAAACGCCGCCGGTGCATTCCCAGGGTTCGCATTAGGATTTGTAACTAGGGCCAATGAGCGCTTGAGGGACTGTGTCCGCTCGGCAGCCGTGGGCTTGCGTACTTCACCCTTCTTTCGAGTGGGGAGGGCTTCTTCCTTCGATGCAGGCACCGGGTCGGGCGTGGGGTTAGGTGCTGGTTTCGTGCCTTCCAGGAACCTTCTGCCGGAGAGGTATTCCTTCCGCGACATCTCCGAGTCTATTTCAACCTCTTTTCCGGATATAGACAGTGTCGTTCCCGGCTCGAGGCGGGCTTCGTGCATCTTCCGTCCCATTTCTTTCCCGCTGATGTCTCGTAGATACACGAATTCTCCCCGGGTAGAGAGAATTCCATCTCCGTCCCATGTTTTGTGCTTTTTAGCGCTTGGTTTACGCCTGTCTGGGTTAGCGGGTTCGATGTCATTGGTACTCGCCCTGTGAGGGAACAACATGCTGAGGACCTACCAAAGAACATTGAAGTATCTTTCGTTGGATGTATCATCTTTGATCGATTCGCCAGATGGTGACTGTGTCGTACTGTCTGATCCTCGATTGTTGACTTGTAAGAGGGGCTTTCGACTGGCTAATGGTGTCGACTGCACGTCCTTGGGTGCTGGTTCATCTTCGAGGCGGGGTTTTTTGGTAGGACGACTGGACTCTTCAGAAATTTCAGTAGGTGTTGTAGCAGGGTTCCTAATTAAAGGGGACTTGAAGGGTTTAAAGACCATGGCTGTGCTGGTCTTTTTTTCCCTTAGTACAGATTGCGTTGGGATGAGGACGCGACACAGGCGCGGGACGCGTGGTCACGTGAACTAATCAATCGGTTTTGTTCAACAGTTGGGTCTTGAATCAGGAAACATCTGGCTTGATGAAAATATTCGGCTAGTAATATGTATTGTATGTACGAGCACTAGTGTGGAAATTATACATATTCAAAAATAAAAAGACTTGCTTGGACATGAATGTGAATTATGATTTTAGTGTAGCTATGTATATAGTCGTAAAAAGCACAACAAAAGTAGAAATGTACAAAAGGTGTATATAACGTTAAATCGCATCATGAAAAAGAGCATTTGGTAGCCGTACAGCGCATAAGACCTCTATCAAACCAAAATGGTACACGCAAAATAGTCCTCCCAACATCTGCCGACAAGGAAATTCATCGAGCATCATCGGCCAGGGCCTTGTCGGTCAAGGGGACATGCTTCGGGCCCACGTAGGAGTCCTTGTGGATGAACCACCAGACAGTAACGAAGATGGACAGACCACCAGTCATCAGACTGGCATAGTTCATCGATGCGGCATCAGTAGGTAGGGCGTAAGGGAAGCAGAAGATAATAGCGAAAACGATGATATAAGCACAAGCCAGGGAGTTGACGACGTAGCCAATCTTGTTGTTCATGAAAAAGTATCCAGGGACAAAGGATGAGCGCCGGGTCAAGATGTGAGGGAAGATGGCCATGAAATACGAAAGACTGGACAACTGCACAAAGCATCCCACAAAGGCGCTGAAGGCGGTGGTTGAGCCAAGGTAGATGCACGCCAGGACGGTAATAACGCCACAGCAAGCCAGGGTAGCGTTGAAGGGGTTCTTGAACTTGGGGCTGATTCGTCCAAGCCATCCCGCGAATGGAGTGGCACCGTCACGAGAAATGGTCCAGAGGGTACGGCCGGCGGTGATGTAGCAACCGCAGGCAGTGATGAAAGTAGGCAGGAAAGCGACGACCAGGAGACCCAGAGCACCGCCATGGGAGCCAGTGGCTTGGCGATAGATCTCAGCCAGGGGGAAGAAGGTGCTGGGGTCGCGCACCGCGTCCAGGTTGTTAATGGAGTAGAAGATTGCGATCATGTAGCAGATACCAGTGATGAAACCGACACCCATCTGAGCCAGGATTGCCTTGGGGATATTTCGGCTCGGTCTGTAAATTCAAGTCAGCATTGATTGTAGCGGTAATTGAGGGGAAAGAACACTGACTTGGGGATCTCCTCAGCCAAGTGAGATGAGCAGTCAGGGGTCCCGACACTGTAAGCACCGTTGAGCATACCAGCTACAAAGACGAATCCTTGCTGGGAATAGCCGGTTCCGTTCTCCCAAGTTGCCCACACAAGCTTGTCGGTGGCGTATCCGGAGCCGTTGACATGAGGCATCACAGCGCACACGACGATGGTAACAAACACACCAGCGAGAATGAAGAACATGCCGAGGTTTCCAATATACGGTAGGAAGCGGTTCATAAACAGCACAATGCAGCAGCAAGTCCAGGTGCAGAGGAGGAAGCTGACAAAAACGTTCCATTGCGAGGGTGCGAAGCCGGGATGCATCAGTGCATACATGGCCACGGTCTGCTGAGCCAGAATCAAAGACATCGATGCAGCGCCGAGGACCCAAGCCAAGCAGTTCCACCATCCAGCATAAAATCCGCACACGCGACCGTACTTGTTTCCCGCAGTGATAGTCGCCCAATGGTATACACCACTGGCTGAGGGCATACCGGATGCCAATTCGGCAATCGATGCAGCGACTAACCAGTAGCAGATCGACACAGCAATACTAGACAAAGGGTTAGGCTTGGCTTGATAGAGTGGCAGGGAGGATCATGTACAATTCATAGATAGTTCCTGCAAGTCCACCGTTGCTGAGAGCCACCACAACACTACCACCTTGGGCAATCCATGTGTTTCCAGTGGTCACGGCCACCGCACAGATACTAATGAGGCCGAAGTTCCGCTCAAGTTCTTGGCGATGCCCTGACGCATTGACGAGCTCTCCATCCACTGGTCCATCGTGTGTATAATCCGACGTAGTTGCAATTTCCTTCTCAGGGACGTAGTCGGCCTTCGAATTAATCCCACTCCCCGACATATTCGACATTTGGGGGATTATCCCTAGAACACGGTATATTCAAAGGACTTTCCGGAATGCGCCTGTATTGCAGAATGAAATGGGAGTCACGATGAAGTTAAAGGGAAAAAAAAGGGAGCCAAAGCAGCGTACAACGGTGTATTATCACGGGCCGATCAAGGTCGACAATGCAATCCCGGGCCCACTCCCCCTACCTTCTCAATCTCTAGCCAATCAACATTCACGGGGGAAACATCTTCGGTGGCTCACTGGTTCATAGTGGAGTTGCCCCAGAGTTTCCATTGGGCGAAATCGGCCACATTGTCTACAGACACTGCGTTTACGCTTATCCTAGAAGGGGAGCTTCAACAGAAATTTTTTTCTTTAGTCTATCTTAGTTCTATTTTATACCTTCTTCTCTACTTCTTTCTTTTTCGGGGAGATAAGAAGTTTGGGGCTCTTGGGCGGGTCAATGAACCCCAGACTTGTTCTTGATTTCACTCTAAATAGATGTCCACCTGGGCTGGTTCCTTCAAAGGATACACATTCTCTGAATGTAAAATCTTTTGGGAGTGCTCAGTACCCACATACAATATACATGTCGGAGACTAGATTCTCCTAGTCTTCTCGTACCCCTATATTTGCAAGTGAGACAAGCCTCAAAAACGACTACTAGGGTAGTTGGTAAGCAGGGGCAACCTAAAGTGTAATAGCAGGCTAAATGTGAATCCAGATGAATCCATTATTGGCCTCAAGAGAGACCACAAAGTAAATTAATATATTCGGTGGACACAAACAATCTATGTTTGTCAGGCTAATGCGACCGGGGTGTGCCTCTTACAAGGGTATTGTAGCATTACTATAGGGCTTGGCGGCTTTAAATTGGCCTCTCTCCCCACTCAAGACCAGTGCCACCATATGAAGGTACTCAATTGATCCAGCGTTCATCAATGAGAAACGACCAACGAAGTAGCGTATATCGAGAGTGAGACTCCGGATCTCTCTTAAACTAGAATCTTCTCCGGAAGTATAGTTCAGCTGAGGGTGGAGAGCACAGAGGCGACTCGGGTTTTAGCCTCAGATCTGGTGGAGTGATCTAGACTATGTGCTGGTCGATATTGCGCTTCTAGATTAATTAAGTACTATATTATCATGTACTATGTTTATATTAAGAAATTAATTTGTTACGTGAAGAAAAGGGAGTATCGATTTTAGCGTGAAACTTGGACTGGGATACGATCTTTGATGGATATCAGTTCCAATCCATAACTGTCCTGATCGATCCTCACTTATGTAAGACGAGCACTCCATAACGGAGACCTCCGTACCGAGTAAAGATCCGCCCAAAATTCCCTCAAAAGGCTATGGATATGGCCCACTCTGCGTTCTGGCTAGTGGCGAACTCAGAATGGCCTGATCTGGTAGGACTTGCTGTTGAGGTGTGCTCCCTATGCGGAGTATACGAAGACAAATTTCGTGCTGTTGATGGATATATATCTACACAAAATGAACAGTCTTCTTGAATCTCGGGCTTATACGGAGTCGAGGATCACCGAATTCATGACGAACCTTGGAATGTTGGCTGATCACCTCAGCTCCTCCACAGTGGGTCTCTCCAGATAGAAAGAGCCATGGCTGTCCCGAGGTCTTCGCTTAACGGGTTACTTCGATGATTGGATCTAGGAGTTTCATGTGTTCATATATCCTGCCTAATCAAGCAGGTAGCGTTGAGTTCATTAAGGCTCCATTTTATACTAAGTGGCAAACTTTGCAAAGATTGGACTTGAAGACCAATCAACTGTCAATGGGCTGTTCAGATCTATCAAAGGAAATTCCACAGTAAGCACGGTAAAGTGGACCGGTGATAAAATTGGCAAATACAAAGAATGCAATAAGGTCAATTTCCCAAACGAATCCCATCCAAGGATGCACTCAAACAGCCCCCTGTCCAATCGTTATTCTCTAGGCTCTATCTTGGAGTGGCGTTTTGTCACCTGCAATCACACGTGCCTGGGATCTATCATACTTTGACGGTTCTAACACACTTGGAACCCCCCCCTGTCGTGATCATCGGCTTATGCAGGGCCTGATCGGAACTCGGAAACCCTATAGTATCTCGTATCCCGATTAATTTCATAAAATGTGAGTGCGCCTCTTACATATCGTTTCTCTCTCGGATCCCTGTTAACCTCTATTCGAACAGGCCAGGGGCAATGTCTGGGTTAGGGGGTCACTTTGCAGTGCAATTTGCCCGTGAAACATGGGCTCTGTATTCAGTCGGAGTACTGAGTGCCGCCTTACGATTGTGAGTATTGAATATGCAATACTGCGTACATAGACCCCCACTGACCAAAGATCTTTGATAGCGTCGCTCGTGTTCGACGTTTAGGCATTCGCAATCTCCAGGTCGATGACTATCTTATGCTCTTCGCAGTGCTTTGGTATACGATACTATGTGTTGCTTTAAATCAAGTCGCTTCCGGTGGCGGGTCAAATCTCATGACCGAGGCGGACAGGCAGTCATTAACCGATAAAATCATCGACGAACGAATCCGCGGTAGCAAATGGGTCTTTGTGTCGGAGCATTCCTTTATTCTTTGCGTTTGGAGTTTGAAAGCATGCATGTTGGTGATTTATGCGCGCATCACGTATGTTCAATCTCGTTGAAGTTTGCAGTATTGTTCTTTTCGCTGACATTCAACAGGGAAGGACTGAAGCAGAAACGCTGGATCAACTATGTCGCGATTTATGTCGCATTAGGCTTCGTTGCCACAGAACTGTCGCTCTTCCTGATCTGCCGCCCATTAACAGACTACTGGGCCGTCCTCCCAGAGCCGGACTACCAATGCTCATCCTACCAGTACTACGAAATCGTACAAGGCTGCATCTCCATATCTGCCGACATATTCATGCTCCTGATCGCCATCCCGATGCTAGTCCAAGTTCGAGTTCCACTCAAACAAAAAATGATTTTGATGATCCTCTTCGGCATGGGAATCTTTGTCATCGTCGCCGCCGTCCTGAATAAGGTGTACTGCCTCGTTCCGTCTCTGATATCCTACGTCTACATGAACTGGTACTTCCGCGAAGCAACCGTCGCTATCCTGGTCACCAACCTGCCGCTGATCTGGTCACTTCTCCGCGACGTCTTCCCCGCTCTCAAGAGCTGGACCGGAGGCTCCAAGCGCGGCACCGACCGCTACAAGTCCGGGCCCTGGACCAGCAAGGGTGGCTCCAACTTACCTCCCTATGGTCCCCCCAGCCATCTTCGGTCAGGAGACTTTGGCATGCAGGAATTCGAGGGCACGACTACGATTACCCCGCAAAAGGCGACTGCGTCTGATGTCAGTCTCTCGGCCAGCGAGGAGCGCGATGCCAGCAGTGACGATGGCTCGGCTCGTGCTTTGCGCATTCGCCAGGATATTACTGTTACCGTGCAGCGAGACTCGCGCCCTTCGGATTACGAGTCGAACTCTTCGCATGTCACCCGTGCCCGGGAGGAGGTTTAACTCCTGATATACACTGAGAAAGTTCTCGATTTCCTTTTTGTCCTTTTTTTTACGAATCCACGAAGTCCTCAAGGGCTTGATACCCCCGCCCTATCTAATTTCGTTTTTATATTGTACATATTTACTTCTAGACGTTGTTTTTTGCTCTCTGGAATTCTCAAAAATACCTGTACCTGCTGGAGGGACTTAACTGGAGTTTCTTGAATATAGATTTTGAAACCCCCCTACAATTACATAGATTCAACTCCACTGATTGCATATCAACCTCCGTTATTTCCACCAAACATCTCACCTCCCCACCACCTGGTACCCAACAACTAGGGCCGTAAACCAACTTCCCAAAGGCAGCTAGAACCGTGGAAAAAGGTCCAACCCAACCAGCCGATCTCCCGGCACCTTGCGTCAAAACCTGCCGATCTTATCGGCATCTGACGGCGACGCTCCCAACCGGGAAGGGATGAGCCCCATGCGTTGGCTAAACGGCCTTGGCCTTCTTTGATCTCTGCCTGGATCATGGTTCGCAATAATAGAACCTTTCCAGCAAATCCGCCGGAAATCCCAGAGTGATATTTTCCCCGGTTCTGGTGCTTGGGCCCAGGATGGCGTTATGTGGGGTTCGCATGGGCCCGAATCCAGGATAGTTCATGCCGGCAATCGTGCATGATTAGTTACGCTTGCGTGAACATTCTTATTCCGTTCTCCTACACACGTTTATCGAATCTTCACGTTGGGCATCAGCTACCATGTACATTCGATGTTCCCCCCGATATCGGCAATCCCCAAATGGCAACCGTTCAAGGTTTCCGCTCCACTTGGGCAATCGCAATCCACCCGTACCATGGACACCATTCCTCTCTACCATGGACAACCTCTGACTTTGGGGTATCACAGAGGATTTTCGCGGGATCTGCGTGGAGCACAGGATAAGAGCAATTATCAATTGTCATCGGTCACGGTGAGGGAATCACAAAGGCTTCCTTTGCTACCGGGGGAAATCTCAAACTCGGGATTCCGCGTAAGTTACTGAATCTGAGTTTCAACTGAGTTTCGACCCAAAAGGTCCAGGCCTCCAACTTCCCAGACAATCTCCCATGTCCATACCTAGGTATATCATACATCATAAATCAATTGGAGGATTCAAGTCACATCTCAATCTAGGTAGTAGACGTTGATCCGAACCACGTGGAGGTCTCATTTTTGAGCGAGACGATCATCTATCCCTGTTCTAGTAACTGGCACGGAGAATCGGTTCGCATGAAGGATTTACTAGCCTTCGCTAATAGTTCAACGGTCTCGGTATATCCAACGCAATGGTAAGTGCAATTACTACACTCCGACCTCCATTCCCCTATTGTGAGTATACAAGTCCGATAGAGTGGACCTGAGCCGAGCACTCGGTGCACCATATACATAACACAGAGCTTATCTTTTCCCGAAAAGGAGGGTGGTAATATCCTTTTCCCTGTGCGCTTTTCTTGCTATTTCTTTTTTTTTTACGGTTTTTGATTTATCTCGCGCTTC